GGACACATGCTCCTTCCCAAAATATCACCTAAAGATTAGATTTCAGGTGGGGAAGAAGGCAAGGCCCAGTTGTTTTTAAACTTCTTTAATCAGCTATTGTACTAAACACCTGGAGAAGTGAAGTGACAGTCTGGGTATATAAGCTGACCACTGGGTCCCCGTCTCCTGCTACCCCAGCTTCCAGGGCGTTTCTCATCGAAGACCTCCACTCCTGACACGTGACTACTCAATATGCTGTTTCCCTTCCAGCAAACACTGAAACTAAGAAGTCAGCCAAATTTGGTGACTAAGAGCATCACCAAAGACACCTGAGAGAAATTAGCAGACATTCCCAAAACACCCACTATCCCTGAACTGCTGGACCCTAAGGCACAGAGATGCATGTATGTGGAAACACAAACTTCAGTTCTTCCCTCCAGGCTTGCCAGGCCCGGCTCCACTCCTGGGGAGTCTCCTGCTCAATCTCCCCTCACTGGTTCTCCACTGTCCATGATTCTCTAGGTTCCCTCCTCTCACCCATCTCCAGAGGCCTCACTAACCACAGACCCCTGGTCCTAAGGGTTGCCAGTGTCCGAGGCTTTGTCCCCCAGAAATGCACCAAAAGTGCTCAGCAGGGCTCCGCTGAAGATTCTAAGTTCTATGAAGATTAAACAGAACTGGCTGAAGACTAGCAGAAAGGGCTCCCAGAGTGAGAAAAGCTAAACCAGGACGTACAGAAGTGACAAAGGAATGGCAAGAGAACAGAGCAGACACAGAACAAATGGACTAACCGTGTGTGAACAGAATTATTGCAGATCAGAAATGGAAGATCCTAGAGAAAGTCAATCCAAACACCTGCAGCCAGGGAGCTTCTGAGAAAGCAACTGTTTAGGAAAAAGGACCTTGGTGAGGGGCTGCTGAAGAGCCTAGGCAGGGAGAGTATAAGTAGGAGAAACTGGGGGGACAATGGAAAAGGAAGCTGGAACAGCTCTTTAGAGCAGGCAATTTGAGAGGATACCAGAGAAGTAGGCAGGGGGGGGGCAAGAACTGGAGGTTCCGGAAAAAGGGAAGATGACATGGGCAGAAAGGCCAGGGCCTCTGGAAGCCCATGAGTTCTTAGGAGCATCCCAGTATCCACCCTGTTTGGGTAAAACTGGTCCCTGAGGGCCACTCTCTGCAGCCCTACTAAACCCTGCATTGGAGTTTGAAGGGTAGACAAACCAGAGGTAGGAAAGTTACCAAGGAGAGAGACACAGCCCTACCCATGGGAAGTTCACATTCTGACAAGACAACCAACCACCACCATCACCCCTGCCTCCAATCCTTGATGAAGCCACTGATCTAAGGAACCCACCAACACATAAGCCACAAAACTGAGAAACAAATAACTGGTGCAAATCCTGTCCGTGGTGTTTAAAGAGACAAGAGAGAGATGAGGTGACACAGAGACCTGAGAAGATCCAAGTTGGGACTCTCCACACCTTAACACTCAGCCTGTTAGTTCATCTCATCACCTGCTCACACATCTGGGCAGGGATCTCAGTGCCTTCCACATAACTACAGCTGCAATGACGTGCGAGGGGGGAGGGACAGAATCAACCTTGCTGGGAGCCTAGGATGAAGAGTCCTCCCTGGGGAGCCCAGGGGCTGGGAGGAGCCTGGAGGTTGAGGTTTGCTCTCTACTGATCTTCCTCCTCTCTCAACAGTCTCTAACCTTGTCCTCACAGGGTGTACCACACATGGCTTCATAACCTCTGGGTGTTTCATGCAGTTTCCTCTCCAACTAAGCAGAGGCTCCTGGAGGATAAAAGAGCAGGTTTTCTCCACACCCTGCAGTGCCGTAATGTAACAAATGCATGTCACAGGTGGGGTATCTAGAGTGTCGATTACAAAAACATTTTCCACAAACAGCATACACATGTCAAAACCATTCTATTTGCTATTCTTTGCCCTATCACTTGCATCTGACACCCTTTGTTGGCTCATGCCTCTAGATGTCTGTTCCTGTATCCACCTCAGCCTGGGGACTGGGCCCTAGACTTTGCTAAGAAAATAACAGCTCAGCTTATGGTGGGAACAATGAAAGGGTATGTGGCCCAAGAGTCTCGGGGGGGGCAGAGGGAGGGTCTCCTCATTTTGGGTTGGCCCACTAAGGATCCTTCCCGTCTCCTAACAGATTCAGATTAATGATCGCTCATTCCTAATTGTCAAATTTCTTTTCCTTCATCCTGTGTCTAATCACCAGTGACAGAAACCATTACGCAAATGAGAGCAGACGACTTCCCCCAACTGTTCGCATTGGTAAAAACCTTGTAATTTAGAGCTCTGATTTGTAGGGGAAGCTGGTCTCCCCCAGGCATCCTGGGCATCTGCTCAACTGATGCCCAGAACAGCCCCTCCTCCACCCCCCAAACTTCAACCCCCCAACAAATATTTGACTTTACAAAAGAGTAGTTTCCTCTGTACCTGCTGGTGTAAAAATAGGATCTTGCAACATGGCTGACCCTCATACAGGCCCAAACCCCCATCTTCCCCTCATGTATCTGCCTTCACACTGCCAGCCAGGATAGGAGTAAGCAACAGAGCAGAAACGTTCTACTCTGCTACGAGTAGAATTTGAGCCTGAACGGCCCTAACCTAGGTATGTGAAGGGAAGAGCCTCAATCTCTTCACTGGGGCAAACGGAGGCAGCAGAACATGAATCAAAGTTCTTAGTGAATATCTAGATCTTCAATTCTACAGATGCAGAAGCATGCTGGGAAAAGTTATGGGACCTATTCAAGGACACACAAGTAACCAAGGGGATCTAGAACTCAGTTTCCCTGTAACTTCTTCCAGAACTCTTAACTCATAATATGGCTTCCTGGCAGTTTTCCCAAGAAGTCTTTAGCTGGAGCCCAGAAGAGCTTTCACCCTGAGCTGTATCTTCCGTATCCTTTTGGGCTAAGCCTGTCTGTACCAGACACTGCCTGCTGCCTGTAGTCCAAAGGAGGTACAGTAGGAGAATCAATGTAGTTTGGTGGAAAAGAACAGCAGAGGGTTTGCAGCCAAACAGTACTAGGTTTGAATCCTGATTGCCACTAACTGCTTATTCTTGAACTGTAAAATGAGAATACCTACCTTGCACTAAAAGCACCAGGCACACATTAGGTGTCTAATAATCAGGGATCACTATTGGACATGAACCCAGAGACATTACCCAAGGATCAGGACCCAACCTGTGAAGGTCCCTCCCCCTCGTGCAGACCTGGGTCGGCACAGCACCCAGAGAGGAGCAGCTGAGAGACCACGCCTCCCTGCTGCACATCACCCACACCTTTAAGGAATGAGCCAGGGATGCAGCAGAGCTGCTGAGAAGGAAAATAATGTGCTATATTTCAAAGTGTCTTTGTGGTCAATTTATCTTCTGTCTGCCTTGTTTTCTTTGCTGCGTTCCTCTTTCCCAAAAGAGATGGAGGGATGGAGATCACTGCAATCACATTTTCCAGCACTGGCTATATTTGAGAGAACTACACTTGAGAAGGTACCATGTTTGAACACCCACACTGCATCAGAGAACCCCAGAATGGGGTACTAAAAATAAACACCCCTCCCCAAAATACACACAAGTGCGCTCATGCACACACACACATATGCATCCTCTCAGTCCATCAGTGCACTGTAACTGTAAACTGAGCTCTGGGGGTGAGAGCCATAGCTCGGACACTGGAAGTAAACCTTTGGCAAAAAAAAAAAAAAAAAGGAAAAAATGAACCCAGAGACTTCCAACTCCTTTTTCCTTCCAGAGAGAAGGGGCGTGGAGATGGGAGTGGAGGTGAGCAGACGCAGGGCCATCACACTGCCCAATCCCAGGGGCCCCACTTCCATTATACAGGTGTGAATGATGGCCCTTCGAGTTGTGCAGTGCACAGCTGCCCAGCTGTAAGCTGCAGCCCTGAGAGGGGTTCCCATGAAAAGCTATGAACAGAAAAGGAAATTCCTCTCCATGCTCCACCAGTTGCCCTGACTTCTGAGGGTGTTTGTGGAACATTACAGTGGGGGTCTGGCAGAGGCGCTGGCTTTAAGAGGCAAGGCTACGTTTTTGCCCTTGCCATGAGGTGGATGACATGTGGTGAGTTAGCTGCCTAGGCTTGACCCCATTTTGTCTCCTGAGCCAAGAAGCTCTGCAGACACAGAGGACGGGGCCTGGGCAGGGAGGGTCGGTCATAGGACCTGGAGGCTCTAGCCAGTCGGCCTCAGGCAGGTTGCTGCGAGGCCTGACCAACATCCAATGGCTAAAAATGAGTTTAAAAGCTTTAGACCAGGTCAGGCAGCACTGCCTTGGGGCTCCCGCTGTATGTCCCACTGGACAAGGTTAAGCGGTAGAAACTTGGTAAGCAGAGAGGCAGGCCGGTGTGGACACACATGCACGCACACAGGCACAAACATCCACACACACATCCACACAGAGGCTTGCATCCCTAGAACCTAGAGAAGCCATTGCTAGGATGACTCCTCTGGCACCCAGGACAGAGAACAAGAGCTGGTGCTGAAAGAAAGAAGCTGTATGTGTCTGTAATTTGTAAGTTATGCACAATCCTTGGTTCCTGTGTCCCAAGGCTCTTTTCTGTGTATGGCTTGAGCTTGAAGGTTCAAGTTGGAACCCTGTCTAATTTACTCTCCTAGGAAGCTATTTAGGCTCTCAAAGGCAACCCTCCCCACTCTCCCTCTCCCCATTAGAGTCTCAGTAGCCATTCCCAACAGCCTAGAGCCTCTCTGTGAAAACTGGGAGGGGGCAGACTGACCTCACAGTTAGGATAGCTGTGGCCCTGTTGCCCAGATGCAATGGGCGTCCAAGAACATCTCCTCTCTCTCAGGCTGAGGCACTGAGATTGCAGGAGACAGAGCGGAGAGCCAGAGATGGCATCCTGACCCAGAAGGAGGGAGCAAGGAACAAGTACATACACGCGTGTGCAGGCATACACACGCACACACATCCCAAGGTTGACAGACTAACACACGACATGATGACAACCAGAAGCTGGGGACTCCACACACTGAATGCAGGACTTTAGGGGGCAGAGAGGGAAGGTGCTGGGGCACAGAGGCAAGGGTAAGAAGTCCCTCCGAATGGGAGTGGAGCGCCAACCACCCTGCCTTGCCCCAAACACCTGCCTCCAGGGCCACGGCAAGAGTCCAGTCCATTAAGTGCAGCGTGCAATACTAGCGTTTGGAGTCTCCTGTCCTCATCAATGAAGCGGTGTGGACGGGCTAGCAGTCACCTGGCAGGAGGCCTCGACTCCTGGCAGGCTAGTTGTATCGGCCCTTGATCATTGTGTTCAACAAGGGCCCCACCTGTGAAAAGACATGAGGAGCCAGTCAGAACTGCCTGTCCCCTAGCCCCGGAGCCAGATGAGGTGTGTCTAGAGACATCGATGTCCAGCCAAGGGCAAGGACAAGGCTTCCATTCAATCTTGTAAACCCTCTAACCAACTCTCTTCCTAGCGGTCAACCCAGTATCCTGGAGCATGGCCCTCTCCTCTGGGTCCATCTTGTATTACCTTCCCTCTCACAATACCCTACATTTGTAAGCAGAACCAAACTGACAGACAGAAGGTCAGAGGAGCTAATAATCCCAGACACCCCGAGTGTTTACGTGCATGTTTTGTAAATGTGACTTAAGAATCTTAAGTGATTCTATATCCTGAAAAGATCATTTGTAATTGGGGCTGGTGCGATCTCCCAAGCCCACAGGTGCTCTGAATGCTGAGGCTATCCACAGGACAGAGGTAAGAACATTGCAAATACAAACCTCCCCCATTTACCCAACGGGCCACTGGCACACCTGCATGGGAAGCAGGTCTCAACATTACCTAGAGCAGTCTTGGCACGGCTGGGAGCGTGTGAGTAGATGCTTTACCGCTCGCTTCCCATTCCAAAAGAATCCCCTCGGGGGTCCCCAGCTGGCACACAAGCCCCATGCGGAACATTACTACTAGCATGGAACAGATTATAATTGATCCGCCAGTCAAGCCCAGCTCTCATCAGAAAACAAGGATTTTCTGAACATACCCATAACCTCTATGAAGAAACAGGACAACAGATACTGAAACAGAAGAGCTACAGAGACTGTGACACCAATCCTGACTTTCCCTGGTCACTCTGCCCACTGAGTCACAGGAGTGCCACCTTGGGGCAGCCACATACCTCTTGTGGGTTCCCCAAGGCCTCTCCAAGCATCTTCTCAATGTTTCTCATTATGGCCACTTTCTGATGGGCTTTGAGAGGATATTCAATTCTCTTAGGGGTGGGGGCCCCCTGCAAAGGAAGCAGCAGCTCAGGAAATGTCTTTAGCAGGCTTCAGTGTCACCCACTGTTCTTCGCACCATCCTCCCTTAGGAAACCCAGTTCAACCCCACCCTCTCCAGCTCCCCCAAAGATCTAGGAATCACTTCCAGAGATAGCCAACCTCCCCACCCTGCCCCTAAATAATTTATTACACCTACCTCACCCCACTCCCATCTAGGAAAAAAACCCATATTCACCTTATACCAGAAGTTCACAGTGATGGTAATCCCCCCATTTAGTAATGACTCTATGTGATGCCACCTGCAAGAAAATAAACAGGCTCCTGTTTGCCACCAATACTTCTCAGAAGGAGGGATCCTCTGAAACTACGTAGAGTCCTGCTAAGGGATATAATGAAGACAGTATCTTCACACTCATCCTATCAAACACACCCTGAGGCTAGAGGCAGTGGTGTTCACCCTTCAAATACCCAAGAGTCAAGAACAGTTTCTCTAGCCTCAAGCCTCTGGGATCTCTTTGGACTTGAGGAACTGTCATCTTGTCTAGAAACAGTATTGCCATTTCCCCCATGTTCAGTATGCTCATCATCTGGATATGCCAACCTTCCTGTATATCACGTAAGTCCAATCCTGCCACAACTCAAAAGAAGAGACATGGATAAGGCTTTCCAGGGAATGGCAAAGAACGCTCCCTAAAAGCCCCCAGTCCTAGCCCCATCCTCACCAGTACATTGGGATGTAAAGAACATCACCAGGGCCAACCACTGTTTCGTAACCAACCACGTTCTGGAAATTGGGGAACCTCTCGTAGTCAGGATTGTCAAAGTCCACCTGAGAGGTTCAAGAGAAAAAAAAAAATCAGTCAATCACCAAATTTTTATCGGTAACTTTGGTAGTCAAGAAAGATGCCTTAAAAAAGTCTTTAGAATTTATATCCAGCAGAAGACACAACACACATTAAACATACACAAACTCTCTCAGAGAATGACCTAAGAAGATGGGCATTGTTGAATGTTAAATGATAAAGAATACTAGGCCTCAGTGCTCCTGAGGTCAGAAGCCAATCATCACAGTTTAAAGGTCAGAAAACCTACTCATGGCCTGCAGATCTGAGGAATTAGGACTCATCCTTCACCCAAACCTTCAGAAATTTTTCCCCAAATACATATTCTAACCAACAAAGATTTCTACACGAGGTAGCTAAGCGGTTTTCTCAAGAAAGGAGAGGCGCTCTCTGGTTGGCCACAAAGTCAACCACACACCTCACTGAGATCCAGAAGAGACATTAAGTGACATATCTCAATTCTATTCACCCTTTTTTTTTTATCAAAAAGAAGTAGCATCCGTGACAAAAGTAAACAATTATTAAATCCAATGGAGACATATACATTTTGTTCCATGAACTTATAATTCAAACAGAATAACCAGAGTCCACCAGCATCAGTGATGGGGTCTGCCTTAAATATCTGGGGACCACCACAGGGACCTGGAATATATAAACTACATTGTGAAATTGTCCTCTGAGTTTGTCCAAACCTGGCATACCTCCACAGAGAAGGGGAAAGACATGGCAGCCTTGGATCTCAAAGGAGTTCTACACCCTCCTCAGACCACATGAGCTCACCTGGCTCTGTCTGTCACATGGATGATGAACAGGATATGGGTAGAGGCACTCAAACTGATCCGGAGGGAACAAAATGCATCGCTTGTAGCCTTTTATCTGAGCAAAGAAGTTCTGTTGCTCATCATAGTGAGCAGGTGTCACATTTCCTGTAGGAAGACAGACATTTTCTTATTCAGAGGAGTAACTCTACTGCACAGGATGGAACACAGGCCCCAGTGCTGGAGAGAAACCCAGCCTGCCCTCTCAGCAAAGGGTTCCAAATCAAAATTTCAGGCAAGATCAGGGAGACTGTAATTACAACTCTCAGCCAATTAGGTGCTACACTTTTAATGGGTGATAAGTCTAGTAGCAAACATCACTGGCTAAGAGTTCACCATCAATTAACAAAGTAGACTTTCTTAAATGATGACTGCTGCCCTTATTGGAAGCAACTGCACATCAAAGTGATACAAGTACGGCAAAATATACTCTGCACAGGTACACCCCACTTTTCAAAAGTTAGCTTTACATCATTTTGCTTTTACAAAAGACCTACATTTGTACCTGTTTTTGCTAACCGGAAGAAATCCAAAGAGGATTTTCATTTTTATGAAAAAAAAAAAAAAGCAAAAATATCATTCAGTGTTTGTTTTGCAGCGAGTCATCACAGAGGCAGCAAGCACAAGCAGTGAGAGTGGCACTGCCAATCTCCTCCCCTGGAAACTACACTCAGAATCTCAGCATCAAGCCAGCATCTCAGTATCAAGCCACCATAGCTCTGAACTGTGTCTGTGAGCATCTGTGCTTTATCTCGATTTACTTTGTGCATCCATTAGCAAGATGTGTCCTAAAGTAATTGCTTCTTTGTTTTACATCATCTCGGCTTATACAAGGTTTCACAGGAATGCTCTGCTTTTAGACAGCTGAGGGGAACCTGTACTTGTACTCTTCTTGACTATGGCACGAATTCGAGGGCAGCAAAAAAACGAGAGTTAGAACAACTGAACTGACTGGTATCAGCAATGCATGCATGATCTTCTTTGATGGAGTTAATCAGTCATTTTAAGTTGTACGAATATGTACTTGCTTTGGGTAGCTCTTTTGGAGCTCAAAGATTCTCAACCTCTGCTCCCACTTCATCACACCTGTGGGATTGCAAAACTTCTTCAGATCAACACTGGAGCTGCTGATTCTCATTGAGGGAAGCATATCAGATTCCTGAAGAGAGTTGTATACTTTGAATAAGGCAAATTATTTAAAATGCCATCCTGAATTAGTTCTGCCCTAGCGTATGTGTGCTCCATCTACTCTTTGTAAGTGGGGCTGCATCTGATGTTTATCCTTTGCACAATCCTTGAGAGATCAAGGGACCTCTGTAGGGAATGGAGTTTAGAAAACATTCCCCAGGTCTGCCTGGGTGAGCCAAGACAGCTGCTTTCCTAAGTGCAGAGATCCATATGCACCCTCAGAGGAGACTTGCTCTTTCATCTCTACCTGAGGGATCTGTTTCCCTGCTCTCTACACCACAGGATAGGAAGGCAACATAAAAATTCAGTCAAGTAAACAAGAACTTGCTCCTGGCAGGTCAACCAAGAGTTGGTTTCAAAGGGTCAGGTTAAGGGTCAATTCATAAGTTGCACTGCTGGAAACTTTTATTAACACTGGCAGCAAAGGACCCAAATCTGAAGAAAGGACAATCAAAGGGGAAGAAGAGACTTCAGAGCCTAGTGGTGAATGACAATGAGTAATTACTCTCCTTCCTTGTTCAACCCAATTTATTCATCATTTACTAAGTACCTACTATGGGCCTGGCACTGAGCAAGTGACAGAAATAAAAATAAGAATAAAAAAGAAAAAAAATTAAAAAAAAAAAACCGAATAAGACAATGACCCTGGCTGGTAAGTAGCTCTCTTTCTCCTGATTGGCGTTTAAAGGTTCCTCTTTTTATTTAAAAAAAAAAAAGTATTAATGTATTTGCTTATGTACATGTAAAATCCACTAGCAGGATACACAAGCAACTAATAACATATGGTGCCTCCAGGGAGGGAAGGATACTGAGAGGCTGAGAAATAGAAATGGAAGAGAGATTTATCACTACATACCTATTTACACCTTTTGAATTTAACCCCATTAATGTATTATCTGTTCAAAAGATAAGGTTCAATTTACATTGGAAAAACGTTTCCCTCTTCTACTGGGATAAAAGTCTTCTGAATATAGACAGATCCAATAGAAAACAGCAGAATTTTAGAGATCCCTAATATCTAAATATATATACTCACACAGCAACTGAGGAAGGGAATAGGGAACTTTCTTTTTAGAGTACCTGACATAACGTACGTTATCTCATTTAATCTTCATAGTTAATTATAAGATATTACTGTGTTCATTTTACAAATGAGGAGACTGAGACTTAAGAAAGTTACGTGACTTGTTGAAAGTCATGGAGCGAACAAGTGGTGGGGAAAGGTTTAGAAATCACTTCATAAGACCCCAAGCCATGCTGCTTTCTGAAAGATTTCTTACCTTCCATGCCAATAAGCAGCAGGTTAGAGGTCAGCTGCCCCCAGCCACGCTTTCCCTGTTGCTTATTAATCCAGTTCCAGTTAAAACCCAAGAAGTCCATGACAATCTTCCTGCCCACAGTGTCATTGAGTGTTTGCTGCAGATACAACCTATGTTCCCCAAGAAGAAAATCCCATTAGTGCATGTACACACTGTCCCTGGCATGGCCTCTCATACCTGGAAATCCAAACCCAAGCCCATACCAACATCTCCCACAAAGAACAGCTGCAGTCATGGGACTCTCACAGAACTGAATCCTTACCTATCCTTCTCTGAGCTCTGTTCAACACCAAATTTTATATTTTAGAGAAGTGATTCTTAACTTTTTCTGGGTCACAGTATGACTCCTTTAAGAATCCAAGAAAAAAAAAGAATCCAGGAAAGGATCCCCATAAAAATGCACACATTGAACTTTAATATAATTTCATAGATTTCCTCGAAGCCTACCCACAGACCCTAGAATGATGACTCAGCCTTGTTCCAGAAACTCTCGGGGCGCGAGACATCCCCTTTGGCCCTTGATGGCCATTTCGGCAGCTCGTATTATTGTTCACCAAGAACTAGTTCCCTCCCTGTGAGAGAGATTCTTCCTCACCTCCTTGAAGCAAGGCTTGCTTATATAACTTGTTTTGGCCAATGAGATGTCCACAGAAGTGACTGGTACTACTTCCAAACTGTAATTTTAAGAACCAGTACACACTACCACATCACTTTCCCTCTGCCACAGCAATTGCAAAGCTTCCAATGGCAACTGATGGAGCAATCTGTGTCCCAAAGTGCAAAAGATGATGTAGGTAGAGTATCCAGGTGACCTGAGATGGACATGTAGCATGAGTGAAAAATAAACCTTTGTTGCTTCAAGTCGCTGAGCCCTGGACTGAAGCCTAGTTTATTTTAACTGATTCAGACACCTATCTGTAGCAGCCATCTATAGCTGAAGAAAAATACCTCACTAAGCTTTCCACAGACCGAGGGCCCCTAACATGCCTGAGGAAGGTAAGAAGTTACTTAATAGATATGAAAAGCCAAACACACTCGATCAAGTCCCGAAAGAAACATTATTTAGGGGGCAAACGTGAAGAAAAAGAAGTAATGGTCCTGAGAGCATTACTTCAAAAGCTCAAAGGTATCCCAGTGCCTGGAATCACAATGTTTAAGGCAACATTAATTAAAAATCTTGATAAATTGGAAACAGCTACCTGTTTGGGGACATGGAAACCTCAAGACTCCAATGCAACCTTGGAATGTTCCCCAGAGATTATGATGTACACATGTTCATACAAATATTTCTCAAGTAACTCTGAAAGAGTCAGGAACACTCCCCAAACAGGAATCTAAGCAATTCCTGTGAAACCTTAACAGTAAATCCTCAAAAGAGCTCAAAGAGGATCCTAACACCCTTCACCCTAGAATCATAACAAGCTGTACAATTATACAATAGAGTTGGTTGGTGCTAAAGTCAGCTGATAGGGCAAATCTTGCAAATAGTAAAAAATTTTCCTTAAATCACCCATAAAGTACAGACTACACCCATAGTTCAGACTTAGGCAAAATGCTCTCACTACAGGAAGCAAGAAACTTAAAGTGACTGAGGAACCAGAGGACTCATGTGTCTTATCTCACACTCGTTCCATGCATATGTTCAATCAATAGCTTTACACTCCACAAGCATCATTTAAATCAATCTCTCTTCTCAACATTGGGTGTATGTGTGTGCGCACGCGCGCATGCACTGTGGTAAATCTGAGGACATCATGCATGAGATGATTCAACTGAACCAGTCTCTATAAGACATAAAGAACAAATCAACCATAGTTCAGATTCTGGAAACTCTTCCGGTCAAAGTTCCATCATTAGGACAATAGCTAAGAGTCAAAAGCCAAAAAAAAAATTTAAAAGTATGTTTCAAATCCTTTCACTCTGCCACATACTACTAACAGAGTCAAGAAGAGAACTGAGGCTGGAGAGTGAAGAAAAGCCCAGGGTTGGGCACCAAATGTGAGACGGAGATAGTCATTCACCATCAAGTACTCAATGACAGCAATTCACCATCAAGTACTCAATGACAGCAATTCCCCAGAGGCAACGTTATTCTGTGGGACTGAATGTTGTCTGGAACCTATCTAAGAGGCTCTCTACCTAAGGTAGAGAGAGTCACTCCCATGTGTGTGTATATCTTGTGTTTGCTATCATCAATTCAATGCAACACATCAATATTCTCCCCCGCCTCACCTATACAACTTTTTAGCCTGCACTGCCCCCATTCAAATATTTTAGGACAAAGGCTGCAAACCCATAATCTTAGGAAATCTACTAACACATATTTTAAATTGGCCTCTTGCAGCATTTTAAAAAATATGAATTAGCTGCCCACATTTAAAAAGATTTTAAATAAAAATGCTGATTTCTGGTTTCTCTTGAAAAAAATCAGACTATCTAGCAACCCTGGGGCTGCACTCCAAAATGGAAACAAGAGTCAAGTAATGACTTCGCACTCTGAATAAGGCATATGCCTTCAGCTTCATCACAGCTTTCACCCAAACAACTTCACTCACTTCATTCACCTACCTGACTCTGCTAGGCAAGTGTGACTCTCACTTTATGAAGACAACAAACTTGAGAATCACAGTTCAAGTCTAGTCATTCCATCATCCCTCAAGCTAGAAAACTCATCCTCAGATAAGGAAAGGAAAATAGATGCCCTAGATCCAACGGAAAACCACGACCTGGGAATTTACCTCTCTTCACCTCCTCGCTCCTGTATATCCTGCAGTTTCTCAACAAATTCATGGAATTTCATTTCTTCCCTATTGGACCTCGGCTTAAAGTTCTGGAAATTAGCCATCTTCTTCTCATCATAGTACAAAAACTTGTGGGTGCTGGCACTATACACAGAGAAGTCTCCGTTGCCAATATTTTCTTGCAGGTATTCAAGGTCCCATTTTAGGGCAGGATACACAAGATTTGTGTCGGTCAGCACCACAGGCTCCTAAGTGGAAAAAACAAATGAAGTCGTCCCAAGGAACTAATGGGTTCTTGTCCCAAGATTCCAATACTTCCCAACTTCAAAATTACTTCTCCTGTTAACCAGCACGAACCTCGCAAGTCCCATTTTTCCTCGCTTCCCTCTCCATCTCCCCTTAGGCCCTAGTCCACACCACGGCCTAGTCCACAACCCCTCCCTTCCATCACCACTCGCCTTTGACCTCTCCTCCCAATCTGGTCCCTTCCCCCATCCCCCACCCCCACCCCCTCTTCGACGCGGCCCCGCCCCCTACCTCATTCTCGATGAGCTCCTCCGCCCGGGGGTCGCTCTGACTCAGACGCGGGATAGGCCGGGTCGGGAAGGTATAACTGCGCAGTTGGGACTCATCCCAGGCGGGGCCGGGGGCTTCAGCCTCTTCCCGGGGTTCTCCAGAGCCCGAGGCCGCAGCCTCAGCCGCAGTCGCCGCCATCTCCGCCGCTAGGGACGGCCCCACCGGAAGCGGAAGCTCTGCCTATTCCGGGGAAAACACAACGGAAACCATAGAGCTAGGCTGCGAGAGAGAGCGTTCCAGACACTAAGAACGCGGGGCCGAGCCCTGGGCGAGCGCCTCCTAATGGTAACCTATAGCTCTACACCCTACGCTCCGCCCCCGAAGACCCGGGACTAGACTTTAGTCCCACTGAATAGGGGTGATCATCGGGTTAACCAATTCACAAATTATTGCTGCCTCAGTGTGCCCAGGCCTACACAACAGGCAAAGAAGGAGGTAAGTTTAGTGGGGCATTAAATTTTACACTGATGGATGGGGAGAGACGCAAACTTGACCCACCTAAGGAAGTCAGAAGGAAAAGCAACTGTCCGATAGATAGACGTTGGGTAAAGATTGCTCCGAAAGCCTCGGCAAAAGATATATGGCAACTTGAATTCTTTCGAAATCAAAGACGGTTTTCTTTTGCTTGGCACCATTTGATTTTTCTGCCTGTGTCACCATCTTACCTTCTTAAAGGCATTTTTGTCTATCTTGACCGAATTAGATCAGTGTTTGCTATTGATTGAATGCAGATGTCGTCCAACCATTCTGAACATCCATTCGATTTTCATTTACAAGAGGGCAAGTTGCTGTAAGGTAGTTCTCCCCAAATTCATATACTGAATAGTATATATCAGTTTTTATTGCTCTGATATATATTTGGTAATGTCTATAATAATGGATTCTACTCCAAAACAGTGATCACCCTAAAACTTCCTGGAAATATGTGTATATTTGTACTGTAAATTATTCAAATCATACTTGTGTAGATAAAATGAACACATATTCATATGCGAACAATAATGCCCCCCCCAATTCTTTTGTTAGGCTAGTGTTCGCTAATTGTGGTTCGGCTTGAAATGTATTTATCCAAGTCCTAGTAAATCTGAGCGAATTCTAGCAAATCTGAGGTGGGTTCAGATGATAGGATTGGTTTTACATTTGTTGGGTTGAGGTGACTGGGACATTCGGATGTAAACACGAGACTGAAACTGAAGAACCAGTTTGGGGGAATTCCCTGGTGGTCCAGTGTTTGAGACTCAGCGCTTTCACCGCCAAGGGCGCGGATTCAATCCCTGGTCGAGGAACTGGGATCCCGCAAGCCGCGCGGCCAAAATAAAACAACAAAAAAAGAACCAGTTCGGGGCCAATTTGTGTGTTGCACCGTGCATCTAACTGAAGGAGATAACTAATTTGGAAAACAAAACAAGAACAAACAAGAAAGACCAAGGGCTGAATTTGAAGAATGATCACGTTTGGGGATGGAAGGAGGAACTGCCAGTGAAGGAGAGGAAAAAGGCAAGCAGTCAGAAAAGAGATTGACAGGCTCCTTTTACTTGTACCGGTCCTGGGGTAGGTGGGTCAGCTGTCCACCTGAGATGCTCAGGTTCTGAGTGCCCGTTATCCCTGGATGCGTCTAAGTCAGCTGAGGTAGAAAAGGGACATAACGATCTGAAATGTCAAAGCAGTGACCTGCTTGTTTTTCTCTCCTTCCCGCTTTCCCTCTCTGCCTCTATCCAACCGCTCATCTTCCCTCTGGCTTCCTAGCACCGTTTAAGCCCCGCCCTTATTGAACCTTTGAGACTTTTCTCCCTTGTCACGTTTGGCCCGGCTCGGCCGCCGTGACAAGGTCTTTGCGCATGTGCGGGGTGAAACGAGAAGAAGGTGAAGATGGCGGCAGCCAGGGCGGGGGTCCTGGGAGTCCGATGGCTGCAGAGGGCATCCCGAAACATGGTGCCGATGGGTGCACGGACAGGTCCGCGAGAACGGGCGAGGCCTCAGTGTGGGAGAGGGGTGCCTGAGGTTTGGTATGTCGGACGGAGGGTGGGTATTGTGGATACCGCGGCGGGCGAGTCCGGGCAAGGGCACGGGTGGAGTTGGTGTATTCAGAAAAACAGGTGGAGGGTCTGTTCGTCCCTCGAAGCCTCGGGCTCCGGTGTCTGCAGCCACCGCAGCTTGAAGCTTTCAGAGTGGAAGGAGGAATGGAGTCGCTTCTGACGTGCCCTCATCTGCTCTTCAGCCTCCCATATTACCAAGGACATGCTCCCGGGACCCTATCCCAGGACCCCAGAAGAACGGGCTGCCGCAGCCAAGAAGTATAATATGCGGGTGGAAGACTACGAGCCATACCCAGATGATGGCATGGGGTGAGATAGGGTCTGCTTGCGCCTGGGTAGTGATGGGAGAAGTTCGGCTGGGTTGGGTAGCTCAACTCTGACCCTTTTCCCCGAACCTTTTCGTGACCCCTCAGAGTCAACGGTGTGGGCGCTTTTCTCCGTGGAGGGAGGTGGGAGGGGATGGGTGAGCAGCTGCAGCCGAGAGGACTTCAATTTTTTCCTTGGCTCAGGCTGTTTCCTCAGATGAAGAAGCTGAGGTTTTAATAGCTCCCTTGAGGACCCCTGAATAGCAGGAACCTTCTTTGGCTCCATCCAGAGCGCAAGGTTTCATTTAGATTGAGCATCTGCTGGGCTCAGGTGCTGTCATCCAGGCACGTGACCAGGCTGGAGCTGGATTCCTGTCATGAGAACCGTATTTGTAGATGGAGTACTCTATATCATGTATATGTCTCTTTTAAGAAATATTTTGCTGTTAGCACTGTGGAAGTCGTAGTAACTTTAAAGCAGATTAAATAGCCAACTCCCTTAACTCCAGTTGATGGTTTTGCTCCCGCACCCCCGTAACATCCCTGTGGTTAATTGTCTGAGTTGATTACCATCACCCTCATTTTCTGTCCTAGCATCACTCTTTCAGCCGTGGTTTCAGCAGCTCCTATTCGTCTTGTTGTTTTTTAATCACTTTCTGTGACACATGTCTAGTTGTCATCATTTCCTATGTCTTTTATTGTGTTGTGGACAAGAGCAGCCTCGGTAGCAGTCTGTATAAGTTGAACCTGGTTTTGTTGGGGAAAAATCCAGCTTATCATGAAGACCCATGAGGTGTTTGAGACTTGGAGTTGTATGTCAACTCTGTGGTTGAGAAACACAGTTGCTATGAAAAGTGCTTTTCTAATCTGTACCCTTTTGTTTTCATTCCAATTAACTGGGCGATCTTAGGTTCAGACTCTAAACTTCAGTTTCTTTTTCTGTCTAATGGGGGAAACAGCGATTGATTGTTAAATTCCCTTCCAGCACTAACATTATAACATTGCATGACTTTTCTTCTTTCTGTTGAAAGAAGATAAGAAAAGCTTACATATGTTAAAATGTTTCAGAGTTTGACATAAATTTTTAATGAAAATTTGTGGACTTCCTCGGTTATTCAGTGCTTAGTGAGTAAAAATTGAGATTTTTTTTCACTTATCAAATAACATTTTATTTTATTAATGATAAATTTGGTATTGGAAGGCATTCAGGAAAATGGATCTCTTTTATACCATTTGTAGGAATGTAAACTGGCACAGTCTTTTGGGGGGGAAATTTGGGATATTTACCAGTGGCCCTTTAACTCAGCATTTCTCAATATGTACACCTCAGGGAAAAAAATTGAGATCTTGATTTGAAGGTCAGTTCCCCTGTCCTTAGGGGAGGCAGTATCTCTGTCACTTGGTTTTTCATCTCTGAGATGAGGAGACTGTGAATTGTCTGAGTGAGGCTGCTCAGAGCCCTGTCCAGAAGTTCTTGCTGTCTCTCAGGTATGGTGACTATCCAAAGCTCCCTGACCGCTCACAGCAGGAGAGGGATCCGTGGTATGACTGGGACCACCCAGAGCTGCGATTGAACTGGGGTGAACCGGTGAGAGAACCATATCCCGTTTCACCTTCCTTCCTTTTCCCTATGTCTTCTGTAGCTCAAATGGCACTTTTCTGCCCAAGCAACACTAAAGTTTTTCTGCCCAAGGAAGCGAGGTCCAGCAATCTGAGATCTGATGTTCCCTGTGTGATGTGTGGAATGGGATGTCTGGGAGTAATCAAAGCTCTGTATTGTAAGAGTCAAAGCTCTGTATTGTAAGAGTTGTGAACTTCTATGATTGAGCTGTCTCTGGTCAGCAGAGCCTAGACATAAGCCAGCATCTAGTCCTGTGGGCCACAGTATCTCAGATGTAGCTCTCAGAATATTGCCCAGGGCAGTAGAATGCCTTTGCAGTAGAATGCCTTTCAAGCCTTCTATGAGGCTCTAATCACTCTGGACTGCATGCCTTTTGCAGGAAGAGCAGTATGTGACAGTGATCTGCCTTTTTGTCTCAGATGCACTGGGACCTAGACATGTATATCAGGAACCGTGTGGACACGTCCCCCACTCCTGTTTCTTGGAATCTCATGTGTAAGCACCTCTTCGGCTTCGTGGCCTTCATGCTGTTCATGTTTTGGGTGGGGGAGACTTACCCCACCTACCAGCCTGTGGTGAGTATCTGAGAAGTGCTCCCTCAGCCATACTTACTTAGCCTTGTTTCCTGAGGGAATGAAGTCTCTGGAGTAGGGATCCAGCCAATACCAAGCTTGACTTCCTGGTAAGGCCTATAGAGGGTCTTACCCACTGGCCTGGTACAAGTACCAGAGCATTGCTCCTGCCTGCATCTTGGATCAGTCTGAGTGAGAAGAAACTGTAGGACTAGGTGAGGAATGAGAATGGAGAAGCCAGCTAGTCTTTAGAGTTGCCATTTTGGGAACTGTACTTAACAATAATATTTCAGCAAGTGATCTTCTAAGGTAGAGTCAAGGAATCTCGAGTTGAAAGCTTATCCTTTGTCGGTGTGAAGGGCACTTCCTGTAGGGTACTGGAAGCAATTAAATGTTTACTGCAAGCATGGACAGTTAGATTTTAGAGAATGTAAAGGACATAGAAAATATACTGTCTGTAGAGAACAGACTTGTGGTTGCTAAGGGGGGTAGGGGAGGTATGGATTGGGAGTTTGGGATTAGCAGATGCAAACTAGTGTAAATAGAATGGATAAACAACAAAGTCCTACTGTACAGCACAGGGAACTATATTCAGTATCCTGTGATAAACCATAATGAAAAAGAATATGAAAAAGAATATATATATGTATAACTGAATCACTTTGCTGTACAGCAGAAATTAACAAACAATGTAAATCAACTCTACGTAAATAAATTTAAAAAAGAAAGAAAATATACTGTCTAGCTTTAAGGACATTTAATTTGGATAAGAAGAAAATTTAGATACATGACATGAGCAACATTGGAACATATATATAGGAATTTGGCACAGTTTTTGTGTATATATGTGTGTAGTGAATGTGTATGCTGGGGGTATCAGGTGCTGTTAAGGAGAAGGATTATGCTAGATGCTAAAATATATATATTTTAGATGGTGGGGAGAAGTTGAAGAGAACATTTGGGGCAAGAGAAAATAGAATAAAGGAAGAGGACAGTGAGTTAGCTGGAGTGGAATAGGCTTATAAATAGTTCCTAGATAACCAGCTGCATTGGTTACCTGGAGAGCTACTAAAAATTCAGATTCCTGAGCTCTACTGCCTAGAGAGCCTAATTCAGTAATTCCAGAATGGGGTTCTAGAATCAATATTTAACAAGGTCCCAGGTAATCTTGATGTCCTGGGAAATCAGTTGTCGAAGCTGTGTTAAAAAAAAATATGGTGAAGTGAGTTTGATCAGTTAGGTTGCATGGCTGAGGGATCTGGACTTGATGGTATAGTAATGCACTAATTCAGTAAATATTTATGAAGCCCCTATCATGCACCAGGTACAGAAGGTGCTAAGGGTTGGGGGTACAGGGATGACTTGGTCTGCCTCTAGGCAGCAGGGAGCCATGTTGGGTTTCTGAACAGAAGAATGCCATAAAGAAGCCTAGGTTTTTAGGAAGATTAATTTGGGAGTAGTCTACAGGATAGATTGTGAGGAAAGGAACTGAAAGCAGGAGGCTGCCGTGTTTGCAGTTGGCTGCACAGTGCTACCTGTGCTGAGATAATCAATGTCCTAACGGTAGCGTGTGTGTCTGTGTGCACTGACACAAGCCTTCCTACCAAGCCCCCAGGGGCCCCAGGCTGGAGAGTGCACATAGGGCTGGTGTGAGCGCTAACTTCACTTCAGGAGAGCAAGAAACACAGTGTGGCTCTTCCATTTTTCAGTTCTGTAAGCACATCACCCTTTTCTCCTCCCCTTGAGCTGTGTTCTCTGACAGCTGTTTGTTGGTAAAGCCAGCAGCCCCTAAAGCACGTCCGAGCCGTGTCTCCTCTGTGCTTTCCCCCACTGTTGCTCCTGCACGCCTCATTTGCTAGGCCACTTTAGTGGTGGAACCATTAGAGGCTGAGTGACTTAAAGGAGATTGAGTCTGTCTCGACCCCGAGAGAGAGTGGGATGGATGGATGCGTCGTCTCATTTAGAAAGCTCTCCCTCACACTCTCCCTTTCTCCCTCTCTTTCTCCTTTCTCCCTCTCCCTCCCTCTCTCTCTCACTCTCACTCACACACACACAAACAGTGTAGGCACCACTTCTCTTACAATCTAGGCTTTCTCTCTGCCTTGGGCTGAGTGGGGAAGAGGAGTGCTGTCCCTGCTGTTCTAGCCCAGCTGGGTCTGACCAAAGGCTACCGTGTACCCATTTACTGTGTGTGATTCTTCACTCAGAGTGGGGTGTAGCCAGGTATTGGATACATAGATATATGTTGTTCTTGCTGACCTGTGTTTTTTTCTTAGGGACCAAAGCAGTATCCTTACAATAATCTGTACCTGGAACGAGGTGGCGATCCCAACAAAGAACCTGAGCCGGTGGTTCACTATGAGATCTGAGGAGGCTTCGTGGGCTTTGTGCCCCCTAACTGACTCCCTCAATCCTAGAGATTTTACCTTAATGAAATCGCTAATAAAACTTAGTACTGTGGTATCTGTGCCTCATTTCCCCAGGAATAGCCATTGCTTAAGCACAAGAAAATGTTGATTTGCTAATTTCACTGGGAAAAGTAGTTGAGGGTTCCAGTTGTACAGCAGGTGGTAAGGGTAGCTCCTTTCCCCATCTACAGGGTTGTGGGAGAAGGAAGATATGTTCCTGACTTCACAAGTTGGAACAAGATTTATTTCCCATAAAAAACCTTTTTAATAATAAGTGGTTAGCTAAAAAACAATACTCTAACATGTTTCAAGTACATTATAGGATAAATAGGTGTTTTGGGACTGGCCTAGGGCTGTGATTGCCTCTAATATTATATCTCTTATAAGAATATGTATTTGGGACTTCCTTGGTGGCGCAGTGGTTAAGAATCTGCCTGCCAATGCACGCACGGGACACGGGTTTGAGCCCTTGTCCGGGAAGATCCCACATACCACGGAGCAACTAAGCCTGTGCGCCACAACTACTGAGCCTGCACTCTAGAGCCCGTGAGCCACAACTACTGAGACCGTATGTTACAACTACGGAAGCCCATGCACCTAGAGTCTGTGCTCTGCAACAAGAGAAGCCACCGTGATGAGAAGCCTGCACACCACAACAAAGAGTAGCCCCCGCTCGCCGCAACTAGAGAAAGCCCGCGTGCAGCAACGAAGACCCAGCGCAGCCAAAAATAAATAATTTTTTAAAAAGTATGTATTTATTAAAAACACAACATTGTAAATCAACTATACTTCAATTTAAAAAAAGACTATGTATTTATTCCAAAGCAACTTCTGAATCCTAGACTCTTATAAATTGATAAATTGACATTACTTATGTTTATTAATTTGAGGATAGTCATTGACTTATTACTGAACCTACACATGGCTTTCACTACCTTAATGATTCATCCAAGCTCCTATAATAGCCTTAGAAAGAGAAAAACCATGTTTCTGAGGGTCTGTTTCTTTTTTTTTTAAATGAAGTGTTTTTTTTTAAATTAATTTATTTTTGGCTGTGTTGGGTCTTTGTTGCTGTGTGGGCTTTCTCCAGTTCTGGTGAGTGGGGGCTACTCTTTGTTGCGGTGCGTGGGCTTCTCATTGTGGTGGCTTCTGTTGCTGAGCATGGGCTCTAGGCACGCAGGCTTCGGTAGTTGTGGCACGTGGGCTCAGTAGTTGTGGCTTGCGGGCTCTAGAGCGCAGGCTCAGTAGTTATGGCACACAGGCTTAGTTGCTCTGCAGCATGTGAGATCTTCCTGGACTGGGGCTGAAACCCGTGTCCCTTGCATTGGCAGGCTGATTCTTAACCACTGGGCCACCCTGAGGGTCTATTTCAGACCCTGAGGGTCTATTTCAATGCATCTGTTTAAAAGAGAACCAATTTATGTTCTTTTCTTCCCTTTAGGGACATTTTCTTAAATTACAATGATATTGCCTGAAAACCTGTCTCATAAAAAAGCATACATTCAACGTGATCTGTAGAAGCAAGTCCATTCATGCTAGATAAGGGGTCCTTTAGTGGTATTCAGGCAGTGAAAGACCTTTATGATATCAGGGAGTGGGTACTTCTACTGAAATGCCTCTCTTTGAAGGTCTCCACTGATTTTTTTTTTTTTTTTTTGCGGTACGCGTTCCTCTCACTGCTGCGGCCTCTCCCGTCGCGGAGCACAGGCTCCAGACGCGCAGGCCCAGCGGCCATGGCTCACGGGCCCAGCTGCTCCGCGGCACGTGGGATCCCCCTGGACCGGGGCACGAACCTGCGTCCCCTGCATCGGCAGGCAGATTCCCAACCACTGCGCCACCAGGGAAGCCCCTCCACTGCTTTTTATGTTTTCATTCTCTGTCCTTTAGAGCATTTGATAATCATTTAACAAACGTCTGTCTGCCTAATATATATCAGACACTGATAGGTCCTGGGGATATAAAGTTGAACAAGAAAATAATTGCCTTCAAAAAGTTACCTAGAAGAGAAGACTGGCATTTGTAAAACGAGGTGAAAAGAATTTCAAAGTGTCTGAGTTGAGAGAAGGGTGCACTTTTTTACTTTACTTTTTTTTTTGTTTGTTTTAATCATGTCCTACTTGAAACTGTGACCTTATGCCTTTGGTTCAGATTTCTTTCAGAGCACTCCAGTGACACCTCGGCCTCATTCCCTACTTCGAGGTGTTGCCTGAAGTTCAGTTTTCAACCCTGTTTCTCATCCACTGTTGTGCTAAGAAGTTCAAGAAATACTTAGTACGTAGAGTGGGCAGGCACCACCAATGCCCTAAATTCTTTTCTGTCCTGAGTTCAAAACTCCCATGTCCACGTGAAAAGGAAATCTAGAGCTGTGTCACAATGACTTGGGGCCACGTCATAAGTCATAAGATAACCAGCTCACCATCTTTGGGGGTATATCAGGCTGGAATATGGTGGTAGAATTCATGCATTAAATTAAAAATTTAAATCAAATAACTTAGGTCTAAGATCTTCAGCTGCCTACAGAACATTTTATTTGGAAATGCCATAATTCCCTCAATCAATATAAAAAATATATATGATCACCCCCCCTCCAACTTTTTATCAGTCACAAGAGCCTGTCCAGCTTTCTTTTACAATCATTGCCACTATGTTAATCCAGGCTTTCATCACCTGGTACCTGGATTGTTCTCTTAGTCTAATTTGATTCCCTGCCTCCAACTCTGTTCTCTCTGCATGGTGATCCATATTGCTAGTCTGATGTAATCTTATTGCATATCTGCCCATAATTTTCAGTAACTCCCAATTACCTGCAGAGTTGAATTGGTATTCCACAATCTGAATCCAGCCCACTCCCCCAGCTGTAGTCCCTTTCATTCATGGTATGGGAAACACCAGGGCGCTGTTAGCCGGTTGGGCCCCTTCCTCCTCGCTGGGAGTCCACCTGTCTTCTTGAAACCCCAACGTATGACACCTGTCTCGTCCCTGAAACCTTCCAGGAAGCCCCTGGTACCTTGCCCCCCGCCCATCTATAGCTTTTAATTAGTTCAACCACCGGTTGGGGGCACCAGTTGTTGCTGGGCTGCAGAAAGTCACTCACCGCTCTTTATGGCCTAGATTGCTTTTTACCTTTTCAACTAAGTGGATTCCGCTGAGAGCCCCTGGAGCTAGGTCCGGGTCTTCTCCGCTTCAATAAGTAAATAATGAGTTATTTTCCCTTTTCAGAGGCTGCCCGCGGAGCCTGACTCAAATTGAATAGACCAGAACTTACTGGTCGCGGGATCTGACCCACTGCGCAATCACAGGACAGGTGAGGGAGGCCCGATTAAAAGCTATAATCCTATTAGGGAACGTTCTCCGTGGGTCAGCGGGGTGCTGGGCCCCGCGCCTGGCGGCGCGTGTGGGAGGTGGGGCCTGCGGGCCAGGACTACTTTTGGCCCTCCGCAGCCGCCTTCCACAGCGCCCCGCTGAGCTCCGAAGCCCTGAGAGAAGACCGGCTCCGGCTCCGGCTCCGGCTACGCCGCGCCAGACCCCTGGCCTGGGCTCTCCGCGCAGGTTGGTTTTCCCCGCCTGTACGGGGCCGCTGAGAGGGGAGGCCGTGCCGGGGACCCCGAGCGCCGCCCCTCTCTCGGGAGGGTGCCGGGGCGCGCTCGCCCTCCGCTGGCACTCCGGCCCGCCCCGCTCCCGGGGCTCCTGCCGGTGTGCTGCTCAGGGGACCCTACGACGCCTGCCCTGCTCTCGGCCGCACTCGGCTCGTTCTCCCTGCCGCGCCTGGGTGCCTCAGCCCGAAGACGGCCTCTCTCCAGCGCTGCCCTGGCGCCTCCCCCATCAGCCCTGGGCCCTGACCTGGCCTGGGCCCAGTGTCGGCAACGGGTCTCTGCGTCTGGCCTGGGCGGGAAGGCCTGTCAGTGCTGACGCCGGCGCGCCGCGGGGGAGGCCGACCATCCTCCGGAGGGACTGGACAGCCAAGGGTAGCTGGCGTCCTCTTTCACTGCACGAGCGTGTCCAGCTCTTGGTTGAGTGGTCATAGCTCTCCCACTTTTAACGCCCCCGGCCCCCGGCATTCTGACCACAGCGGGGACCTTTTTTGTGAACAGATGTCTTTGAACAAAGTGGATTAAAAGCCCATCTTCCCAATTTGTAGGCTGGGGTTTAAACACTTCATGGAGTTTAGTTTAGACTGGTATAATGGTTAAAAGCACTGGGCTCTGGAGGCTGTTGGGGTGCACAGCTTGGTCTAGCCAGTTTTCTTCTCTGTGAAATGCGGATAGTATCGGTACTGACCGCCCAGAACCATTGTGAGAATTAAATGAGATATGCATGTCAAGTGCACACGGCTAATTGCAGCTCCCGCTTAAGAGACCTTTCTCCAGAAACGTGAAAATGGTATTGACCAGCAGGTGGCACTGGTGACCGTGCAGTATGATGTACAATCTTGTCCGAATATTCCTCAAGTGTTTAGAGGTCCCCGGGAAATCTCGGCTGAGTTGGCAGCCTTAAACTTTCTTCAAGCTGGAGAGTGCATTTGATATTATTAAGTAATAAAACTTTTGTTTTGGTAGGTCAAGACTAACCTGGCTGTGGCTTGCTCAAGCAGGTCACAGTGGGTCCCAAGTTTACTCCATCAAGTTCAGTGTTAACTTTTTTTTTTTAAACTTCCCTGCCGCTTTAGCCTGTTGGGATGGCACCTTGAGTATGTGTTAGAATTGGTTTGGAAACTACCAAGTTAAAATAGATGTCTGCATTCATTCATAAAGTATTATCGAGCACTTACTGTGTGCCAGACATTGTTCTGACGCTAGTTATAACATGGAGAACAAAGCAGACACAGTGCTAGCTCTCATGGAGTTTACTTATTAGTGGACAATGTAGATGTAAATAAATATATAATTATAGATTGCTAAGAAGAAAAAAAGGAGTCTGTTTTTGATTGGGTGGATGACCTCATTGAGGTAAGAAGCTGAGCCCTGAAAGATGTGATAAGGAACCAGTCATGCAGAGAACGAAACAAAAAGCCATCAAAGTATAGCAAACAGAATTTACAAAGCTCTAAAGTGGGGAAACGCCAGGAAATGAAACAAGGCTAATGCAGCTGTAGCACAATAAGTAAGGGGGAGAGTAGGAAGAGATGAAGTTGAAGTGGTAGGCTAGAGCCTTTGAGCAGGGATCAAAGGGGTTCGCATTTTATTCTGAGTGTGATAGAAGCCACTGAAAAATTTTAAATGTGGAATGCCAAAATCCAATTTTTGATTAAAAAGTTTACTCCTGCTGCTATGCAGAGAATGAATTGGGTGACAGGGATGAGTAGCAGGGAGAAGACCAGTAATCTAGGTGATAGATGATAGTATCTTCAAATAGAGCAGTGGTGAAGATGGAGAAGAATAGACAGATTAAGGTATATCTTGGAGGCAAAATTTGGAAGACTTAATGATGGATTAGAAGGGAATAAGGGCGAAGGAGGGATCTACGGTGATTTTCAGGTTTGGGGGTTAAGCAGTTGTCTGGGTGGTGGTACCATTTGCTGAGATGAAGAAAACTGAAGGAAGAACAGGTGGGTGGACGAGATGGTGGAATAGAGAATTCCAATTTAAACAGACTAAGTTTTAGGTATCTTTACTATATCCAAGTAGAAATGTTTGATTAGCAGTTGTATGTAAGAACTTGTAGCTCAGAGGAGAGATTTGTATTGCCGATATAAATTTGGGAGTCATCGACATATGGATGATGTTTAAAACCAAGGGATTGGATAGGGTCACTGAGAGATTATTTGGTTTGATGGTTATCATCACCCTCGGGCCTGTGGCAACTAGTGTATTTGAATATCTTTTAGGGTTTAAAGCATTAGGTTTCAGTAACTGGGAAAATGAACTGTCATTACAGATCTGCAGACGGTCATGTATTTGTTACCCTGTGTTGCCCCAAAATGCCCCATTCTTTGGTGGTGAGAGAGAAACAAGCTCTCATGTCCACAGGTGTTCCCCTTGATCTGGCCCTTAAGCTTGCTGGTTTCTATTTTCAGGAGGCTGAGGAAAAGGGTCACTTTTCTGCCACCTACAGGACAGACCATGAAGCTGAAGGAACTTGAGCGGCCAGCTGTCCAAGTGTGGAGCCCAGCTAGCCACTACTGTGGATAAGGATCCACTGAGTACATAGGTTGAAGGGAAACGTAGTATCCAGGGCTCTTTATTGTGCTTCAGAGAAAGTTTTAGAGTCATGGAAATCTGGGGTTGGCTAGCAGCATATGCAAAGGGATATTAGGAGTTTCTGGTACCTGGGGGCAACCTTGGACTCTGGCTTAAGGCTAAGCACCTCATGCTTTCTTGTTTTCTTTGGAGCTACCATTTGAAAAAGGGTATATCCAGTCCTCTCCTGTTCCTCCTCTTCTCTACTGCTTAACCATTTATACCCCAAATCCGTGCATATATTGTTGCTCATATGCTGCCTCTTCCTGACTTTTCTTGTGCCTAGGAACATCTGCCCAGCAGCTAGATGCCTCCTTTAGTACAGATGACACATTGGAAATCTTTGAGGTTGATTTCAGGGACCCCTCTCTGGACTTGAAATGCAAGGGAGTCCTTTCTCCCTCCAGCAGGTACTATGTCTGAACTTTTGATGGGTATGCAGGGCAGATCCTGATGTAGACCCTGATGGGGAATCCCGGGAGTAGTATGTGCTTCTCAGGGCTCATGAGGAGACAAGTGAGGGGAGAATGGTCTTTTAGTAGGAGAGAAGTTAACTCTGGGTTTATTTTGCAAGAGGATTTTGAAAACACCCACTCCAACCTTTGTGGTCAGCAGCAGCAGCGTCATGCAGAATCATGTGATAGAGACGCCTCACAGAAGCCTGGACCCACAAGTACCTGATCTGTCTCTGAACGCAGAGGAATTGGCTCCTTCCTCCCTTGGCTCTTGTGAACATAACAGCCTTACACAGTATTTCCTTGTCTGCCAGTGGGAGGCGAAAGAATGATCCTCTCCTCATTGCTGTCAGGCACCGACTGGGCACTCATGGATTTCATGGCTCTGGCAGGCTTACAGGGTTGGGTACTAGCATTCACCAAGCACATGTATACATTCCAGGCACTATGCTAGGGGCTCTGTATAATATCTTATTCATTCCTCAAAATGAGCCTAACCAAAAAATACCATTATTCCCATTTTATGTAGGAGAGAACCAAAACTCTGAGAAGCTAGGATTTAAGTCTAGGCCTGTCTTACTCCAAAACCTACCTTCTTTCTATTATTCAACTGTTCTTTTACAGGTTGTGTAAAGATGAGGCTTACAGTCTGAATCAATGATCTCTAAACTTTTGTACAATCAGGAAAAATGTGAATATTCACTGTACTCAAGTATATATTTAGTATAAATAATATACATATATTACTGTACTACTTTTTAATATTAAAAATATAAATCTTTTTCTTACAGCCCAGAGGATTATCTTGCCCATCCACTTTAGAGATTGCTGGTCTAGAATGCAACTCTCCATCTTCTTGTGCATTTTTTGGTCCATCTGAGTGATTAGATTAAGATATTTAGACAGAAGTACCCTCTTCTTTCTTTTCATGGTTTAACCTAATAATGAAAGTTAGTTTTTGTTCTCCTTTTCTTGAGCTCCTATATCACTTTGTTACAGTATCCCTTATTTTGCAGTTTTTAACATTTCTTTGTATTTCCAGTACCTTTACCTTTTGAAGAGCAGGCCTTGGCGGGTTTACCAGTAATGATGAGATATTCTTAGCCTCTAAGCAAGCATTTCAGAAAGGGCTGCTGAAAGGGGTGAGCTAATTTAATAATGTTTATACTCCTGAAGATAAGAAAAGGGGCAGTGAGCGCAAGGACTCTTTTCTTTGACCAGCCAAGCAGCAGCTTCAGCATAGTAGTGGCTCCTTAGGGCTAGGAGTTCCTAAGAAAGAGGCAATGTCATTGCTTAAGAAACCTTGAAACTGAATCCTGAGATCCATGTATGCAGAGATTTTTGTCTGTTTTATTCACTGCTGTATCTTTAGCTTCTAGAACAGTGCCTGTCATTAGGTGGTTAAAAAATATCTGTGGAATAAATGAGTGATATTAGAACCTTCTGGATTACCAAACGGAGCATTCATGTCCACCAGTTCAGTTAGTTATAGTTAGTCTTCAGTTAGTCTTAGTGCCTTAAGAGCTTTTCAAGGGTAACAATCTGTTTGTTTGGCAGCCAACTTGGTTGCAGGGACACTTTTTGAAATGTTGGTACTGTATTCAGGAATCATGAAGCATCACCTCACACCCTGCTCTACCCTGCAGGAATTTGGGGACTATAACCAAAACAAATAGCTTCCTATTTGTTCCTATTTGGAAAAAGGAAGTTAGCTTCCTTTTTCCACCTCTATAATTGTGTCTAAAGATTGAGTCTTATTCTCAAAGACCTAAGGGATTACTTTTGACACAGTTCGGTTGGGGCCTTTCTGAAGAAATCATCTTAGACCCTCCAGGGTTTAAGACACCCACTTCTTTCCGTTCCAGCCTGGGTTAGGTCACTTACTCAAAAGTCAGCATCACAGACAGTTGACCAAGATGATCAGGGTAGACGAAGGGCAACCCATCCTTTGCTTTATGCTTTCCTCTTTTCTGTATCATCTTCTGCTTGGCTTAATGCAAAGCACAGTTGTGTTGGGTTGCTACCTTGGCTAAAACTATGTGACTTTGGGCAAATTGAATTCCATCAGTGATCTTAGGTTTCCTCACTTATATGTAAAGAAGAGGTTGTACAAGATGACTTCTAAGAATCTACTGAACTCCAAATTTAAGTCTTATCTTCAATCTCTCCTTCCCTTTTTCTAGTTTAGTCTCCTTCCTTTTTTCCTTTTTTTTTTAAACAAATGCCTCTCTGTATCTCTTTATTATTAACTAAACATACTCTTCAAAGTCTTCCCCCTTCCATTGCCTGCCCTTTTTACCAGACCCATGCCTCAACCACATTTGAATCCTGAAGATGCCCTTATCCTCAACCTGTGATGTATCAGAGAAATATTATCTATTTAGAAATACCTGACTGAAAGAGAAATGTTCTGAAACACTGGTATGGGTGTGGATAAGGGACAGCCTTAAGCTATAAATAGAGTGAAGAGAGTGTGCGAATTAATGCCCCTGGATGCAATCAGAATCAATATGGATTAGCATGTGCACTGAAGCAAGTGATGTTTGGTTTGTTAGATGAATCTCACTCAAGAAGAAAGCTATCTGGGAGAATAATACATTGTTTATGTATTGACTTTTGAGTTGAGGACGTAGCTGCTGTGGCTGAGTGAGTTCAGGGGTCAGTGGGTGATTTGCTGCACTCTACCTCTGTCTACACTGAGGTTCTAGATCTCTAAGTGGCCACTGTAACCTATGTCTGACCCATCCTCTAGTAACATGGAGAAAGTAGGTGATCTATCTTCCAATACCTTTATCTCAGTTCTAGCTACTTGGGGAGCACTGTGACCCCTCTTTAGGTGCCTTTGTGAGGGACAACACTAAGCAGTAAAAGATCGTTTTGGTACTACTCCTAATTTTCTTGTTTCTAAGACTTGCCTTCTCTCTAGAGACATTAAGATCACAGAGGAGAGAGCATGGGCTTTGTTGTTGGACAGACTTTGGTTCAAATCCCAGCTTTGCCATCTACTGTCCTATCAGACACATTATTTAAGTTCTCTGACCCTGTTTTCTCTACTGTAAATTTGAGTAACATAGTTGGCATATAGTAGCCTGGTACATACTAGGCATTCAGAAAAGTAGTTCTCCTCTCAGACAGCCATCGCTCCACCCCAGTGTCTTTATTCTCCAGCTTGGAGCACTGCCCTCATCTCTCTGACTTTTAAGGAAACTTGGATTTCCTCAGTTATTTTGGCCAGGATGTGGACAAACTCATATTCACTTTAATCCACTAACATGAGGTTGGGATTTTTCATAAGGAACTTCACTAAGCAAATAAAATCAAAATCCCAAACAAAGAAGTACAGAAATCATGGGAGCAAGAATTTATACAGCACATATTCCTAATCATAAGGTAGCTGAAGCTTGGCCTCAGATGAGCTTAGCTGGTGCGACGTTCTGATCTCACAGGTCTCAGTTTATTCTCTCCAGCCTTGTTTTTCTCTTTTTGCCAGGAGCATAGCCATGAGTTGATTGTTGGGGCTGGTTCCATCTTTATGCATTCAGCTTCTTCCCATTGTTCTATCCTGGTGTGCAGTCTGATGTATCTAGTACAGAGGTTCCTAACCTTGGCAGCTTGTTAGAATCACCTGGGGGGCTCTTATTAGAAATGTAGATTCTGAGGGCCTGTCTCTGGAAATTCTGCTTCACAAGGTCTGGGTGGGAATCGGGAACCTGTATTTTCTTTAGGTGCCATCCCTCATTCTGTGATGCCATGTGGTCTCCATCATTGCCATCATTATCCTGAGAAGCTGTTTAGCAGAGAATTCCATGTGTATTCTCATGTTTTCAAAGTTCCCACCTTACTATACAAACTTGTCTCCCTATACCTTCTACTTAAATCTCTTAGTTCCTATTTGCAGGCCAAAGGCCATCTTTTTTGTTTTATAACTTTTTTTTTTTTTTTTTTTTTTTATTTTTGCGGTACGCGGGCCTCTCACTGTTGTGGCTTCTCCCGTTGCGGAGCACAGGCTCCGGATGCGCAGGCTCAGCGGCTATGGCTCCCGGGCCCAGTCGCTCTGCGGCATGTGGGATCTTCCTGGACCGGGGCACGAACCCGTGTCCCCTGCATCGGCAGGCGGACTCTCAACAACTGCGCCACCAGGGAAGCCCTATAACTTTTTATTTTTAAAATATTCAAACACAGAAAAGTTGCACAATAGTACAATGAACAATCATATACCTTCATTTAGACTCATCAGTTGTTAATGTTTTGTCACATTTGCTCACATGCTTGTGTGCTCTCTCTTTGTTTACACACATGCGCACACACACACACACACACACACACACACACACACACACACACACACACACACACACACACACACACACACACACACACACACGACTGTCCATTTGCAGGGCAGAGATGATTGATCAAGTCTCCTTCCTTGCCTGACTCGTCCCAGGTGTTCCCCCTCTCCCAGGTGTTGCCTATCACAGCTATTCGGGCTCCAGTTTCACCCTTACTAGTGAAGTGTTAACAATAGGAATGTACTTTCTGCATGCTTACACAAAGAAAAATCATTTTGTCACACCCTGTATTCTGCATTTCAGCCACTCTAAAGTAACTGGGCCCTCTTCTCCGACCCTTTGGTGACTCCCATGTGGTCTCAGTTACCTTTTACTCTGATTTTATATGTCATGTGCTCTGACCATACCACGGTCACTGCATTCCCATGTGAGTTTCCATGGCCATACCTACCTCTGCTTCCTGTGTGACCTATTAGAGGCTTCTCTGGCTAACCTATTGACTTGCCCTCTGCCCATGCTGAGCTCTAGCCCCTGGATGACATGGCAGCCTCTGGAGCCAGCATGGAACACATTCTTCTGTCCTTTTAAGGTCAGCGCAACCTTAGAAAATATAGCCTTTCTGACAGTAGCTTTAGACCCACCGTTTGTTCAGCTCTGCTGTTTTTGTTCAGATGCTGACCTGGTCTGAACTAGTGCTCAGCTCTTCACTTTTGACAGGTTGGCTCTGCTCTAATGACTGGCCAAACAGGTTCCTGCCTGGTCACCCCATTCAATTTCTTTGCTGATTGTTCCCAGGGTGTGGGAACATTTAATTTCAGTTAGAGATCTTACGACATCATTCAATGTGAAATCTGGCTTCTCGGAAGGCTGCAGAAATATCCTCGTCTAGTAGGATAACCAAGTGAAATGGAGGACAGACCACCTGTGAGCCTTTGGGGATTTCACATGCCTTCCCTAGGGGCTTTGCAGGGGACCCATACTTGTGTGCAGGGAGCCCAGGGTCCATCTCTTTCTTGTGTGAAAGATGCTCAGAAAGCCAGAAAAGTGTCCCCCAAACGGTGCATTTATTCTTTGTGCCTCTGTGTCTCTAGGGCTGGCCCACTGAATCCACATGGTAGTTCCAGTGGACTAGACACATGGGAGAGGCATGGGATGGGAAAGTCCTTAGATCTTTTCTCACTTCCAGTTTAAGAGGGAAGAGGGGACAGCAACTGTTGGCCTAAGGAACCTGCTTCTATTCAGGTATAGAAGAGTTTGGATCTTGCTCTAAATAGAAGACAATATTTTATGAAGGTTAAGAGCTCAGGCTTTGGCATAAGATGGGCCTAACTTTGAACCTTGACTCTGTCACTTCCTAGATGTCAAATGGGAGTAAAATTACTAACTGTATATACAGAAGTTTCACAACTTCTCTGTGCCTCGTTTCCTCAATTGAAAATGGAGTTAATACCTCATGGGGTTGTTGATCAGCTAAAACATGTAAAGCACTTAAAACGTACTAGTGCCTAGTACGTAGGAAGTTATCAGAATAAGTGTTAGTTGTTATTTGAGTTGGGAGGATTAAGAAGTAATTTATTTGAAGTGTTTATCACTGGGTTTATATTAAACCCAATAATGTTAACAAAAACATAAAAAGCACCCCTCCCCCAGCTCCGTGGCAGTGGCCTCCTGGCTTCTAGTGTAACATAGATGGAACATTTTTTCAGCCAAAGGGCAGGAGGACCAGGCAGAGGAGACCTCTGTTCTGTGTCTGGGAAATGAGGGAGACAGGCAGGCCCTGACCAAGGGTGGGGATGCCTGCGTAATGTCAGAGGTTGGCAAAGATGCCCATTCTCTACTTACTGACGTGGACCTGAGTTGGTGCTGATGCCAGTTCCTCCTCTTTGTAGGTTTCACAAGCTGATCTGGGGGAGCTTTAGCAATGGGCTTCTGGAAGGCTCTGGGGTTATTGCAGGCGGCAGGGATGATGGCATGCTTACTCTATACAATGTGACCCACATCCTGTCTTCGGGAAAGGAGCCTGTGATTACCCAGATACAGAAGCACACGGGGGCTGTCAGAGCCCTTGACTTTAATCCGTTCCAGGTACTACATTTCAGTTAATCAGACACGGCTGACAGATCTGAAGGGAAGTGTTTGCTTGTGACCTGTGGTCTCTAACTCTGAGCCCTTCCCAGGTTGTTGTGGGGGTGGCTTTGGAAGCCCCGCATGTGGGTCTCCTTCCCCCTTTTCTGCTCTCATCTCTTCCTGGGAAGGCGTGTCTCCAAAGGCCTGTTCCTTCATACAGGGCAACCTCCTGGCCTCAGGGGCCAATGATTCAGAAATCTTCATTTGGGATTTGAATAACCTGAGTGTGCCAATGACCCCAGGATCCAAGTCATAGGTGAGGAGCCTTCTGGTGCTGCTGCTTAAGAGTGTGCACCTGATTTTCCCAGGGAGCGTTGAATTATGGAGGCAGCCAGCCCACAGGAGATTTCCATCTTCACCACTGGAGGGCACTAAAGCTCCACAGACTAATGTGCTGCCTACCAGCCAGATAATAGAGAGTTGGAGTCGGGTGGGGACCGGTTGGGGGTGGCTTGTGGTCATTAACTGACCCAGGGGTTTCTGGAAGGCAAATGAAGAAGGGTGAGGGGAGTAAAAGACATTGAGAGAAGGCGTGAACGTACTGTTTATCGTAGTATAGCTTAGGCAAGCTTGGGCCCTGAGCTTAGCTGACCAGGGGCAAGAGTAGGACACCCAGATACACCCTTGTCCTTTTGGGGGGAGGATCAGCGTTGTCTTTGTATCTGGTTCCCCCATGTGGCTGGGGGACTCGTGTGTCTCTGTCTCTGAGTGTACCTATCTTGTCAGTCTGTAACTGCGCCCATCTTTTTCTTCCTCGCTTTTGTTTCTTATGCTTACAGTATCATGAGGTAAGTTCAGTATGAATTTGATAGCACCTTGTGTCCTAAAAGTATCAATGGCTTTTCTCTCTGCCTCATTCTCTCTGGGGGTCTTGGGTGTCTATATTTCCCTCCCTCACCTTTTTCCTCTCCCTCTCTCTCTTGTCAGAGACGAGAGGGCTGTTTTAAAATCTTGACTCTATCCTCTCAGGAGCACTTTGGGATAGGAGTAAAACCCAAGTGCATCTGTCCTCTCAGCTTCTACACCAGTTTCCTAAAGCATCCTCTCTGGAAAACTCCCCTCCCAGCTTCCCGAGACTGGCTTGGTTTGGATAGCCCCATGTCTACTCTTGGCCTTTCTCTGGGTGGTTGGGAGCAGTGGAAGAGCAGCTGTCTCTTGGTCCAGGGGTGACAGGTTGTCCTCAACCTGCCCCCCACACATCCTGCCTCAGCAGCCTCCAGAAGACATCAAGGCACTCTCTTGGAACCGTCAGGTTCAACACATTCTGCCTTCTGTTCACCCCAGCGGCAAGGCAATCGTGTGGGATCTCAGGAAGAATGAACCTATATCATCAAAGTCAGTGATCACAGCAACAGGGTGAGTTGAATACAGGCAGAATATAGGCTCGGGCTCTGCTGTCTCTCTCAGGCCTAGTGTTGGAGCTGCTCTCCCCCAGGCGAGGGTTCTGCTTTCGGCTGTTACACCTGTGGATCCAGCCTCAGCAGATTTCCATTTGAGAGTGAAAGCTTAGGGAAGCTAAACTAAGCTGATCTGGAGGCTTCTGGTGCTCCTTGCTATGGTCATCACTCATTCCCCGATGGCTGTGGTGTTCCCAGTCACATAGGAGAGACACAAAGCCTACCCTCAGAGAGGTCCCATTTCAGCTGGACAAAAAAGATTCATAACCAGAAGAGTCAGATTACATGGCCCATTGGGGTCTGCTTTGTTCACAGATGCACTGCTCAGGCCTGGCCTGGCACCCAGACATGGCCACCCAGTTGGTGCTATGTTCAGAAGATGATCGTCTTCCAGTAATTCATCTGTGGGACTTGTGCTTTGCCTCCTCACCCCTGAAGGTGCTGGAGAGTCACAGCAGGCAGCATCTCAAACCCCATCCACATCCTTGTTGGAGGGCGGGGGCATAAATGACCTGGGTAGAAGGCAATGCATGCCTCACTTTGGCTACCAGACATTCTCCCTGGCTTCAAAGCTATCCCAGTGAACACATAGTTACCCAGTTCTAGTTCCAGGTCCAATCAAGAGGAGTTCCTTTAGACCCAGAGGTTATGGAAAAGAGCCTGAGTTTCCATCTAACTTCCAGAGATGGGAGTGGGGATAGGGTCATGAGAAATACTGGAACCAATGTTTAGTCCCCCTGGGAGAGTCCCCAAGCTCTGATCTGAGGACAGTACTCATTTCTTTAGGTGATTAGGTTGCCTCCTTCAAGAGTTCTTAATAAGGGAACCTTGGCTCCTGTCTTTTCTGTGAACAGGCCTGCCTCTGAAGCTGTAGCTCTTGGGCCTACAGCAGAGAAAACAGCCCCATAGTCTGTTCTTTCTAACTCAAGGGCCATGCCCCTTGGGGACTTTTGAGCATTAGGTCCTCACTACCCTCCTGGGCTAAAAGCACCCATAGGGATGGGTGCTTGCCTGATTCATGTTGATTCATAATTCCTACCCTACAATCAGGGAAGAGAAGCAGGCCATCCTTCAGTGACCTGCAGGAGGCAGAGTGGTATAGTGCATAGTGCACAGGCTCTGGGATTTGACTTGGGTTCTGGCTGCTTGACTGCTGAAAGTTCCTTAATTTCCTCCAAAGCCTCATTTTCCTCATTTGTAAAATGAAGTCAGACTGCTCATTTTGGGGGGATGAGATTTATCCAAGATACATAAGGCACCCTGCTCACAGTAGGCATTCAGCAAACGTTAGTTCCTCTTTCCTTTCCTTTTTAGGGGGATCCTGTCAGTGTCATGGAGTCAGGCTGACGCTGAGCTACTGCTCAGTAGTGCCAAGGACAACCAGGTCTTGTGCTGGAACCTGGAGAGCAGCGAGGTAGGCTGGCCCTTCTGTGGGCATGCTGGGATGGTAGGGGAGTCCCGGCTGCACCTGTGTGTTCTGGGTTTCCTTACCTAAGTCAAGGTTTCCTTAATGGTTGTGTTCCCTCATATTAGGTGGTGTATAAGCTACCCACACTGAGCAGCTGGTGCTTTGATGCGCAGTGGTGCCCTTGGGACCCTCCAGTGTTCTCTGCTGCCTCCTTCGACGGCTGGATCAGTTTATACTCTGATGGGTAGGAGCTGGGAAGGCCAGCAGATGAGACAGGCTGACAAGGTTTGAAGGGCTTGGTGGAGAATGCTGGAGGGAAGGGACTGTCTCTGTTTGGCGGGAGAGGGAAGGACATAAGCCTGGGAAGAAGTGGGGACTATTGGAGACTTGGGAGACCAGAGCCCTGGGTTTGGGAAGGCTGAACCTTTGCTCCAGTGCCCATCTTCCCGGAAGGATGTCAGTTCCTGCCCAATATAAAGGAGGCCTTTACCTTGACTCTTGCTCTTGGATGTTCCCAGCGGTATTTCGGGGAAATTGGACCTCTATGCTAGGACCCTTCACTGTTTTGGAAGTATGAACTGTCTTTCCTCCCTGCCTCCTATAGATCCATTTTGTGCCACACTCCACTGTAGACATTGGATGCAGTAGGCTTTCCAAGAGCCTTATTGCATGGGAGTCCCATCCTCACTACCAGTCCCCTGGAATATGAGAGTCCTGCCTTTGTGGGCCAAATTGGGTGTCTCAAGGATCCCTCCCAAAATGGAGTTTGTAGGTAGAGTTCCTGGCTAAGCCACCACTCCACACTGGTGATGCAGGTGTCCTTTTGCCCTCAGATCTCTTCTTCCTTTAGCAAAGTCCAGCATCTCCCACCATTGCAGGTGCCAGAGCAAGTGGCCCAAGCATCATTGATATCTCCCCTGAAAAAAAAACCCCAAATGGATGAGAAGGCCAGCAGGTGTCTCATTTGCTGTAAGTGTAGTGTGTGTGTGTGAAGCCTACTGTGTGCCCAGCATGGAGCTGTGTTCTGTAAGAGGTTTATTCTCACTGCCTGTGTCTGAGATCAGGTCCCACTTTACTGCTCAAGCAGAGAGTTGCTGTAGCTTCCCTCTCTACCCCTTCACCCTGCTTGCTGTGCCAGTCCTGTCTAAAAGGAATTGATTGCTTTAGAACTCTCATTTATGGAGAACTGCCTGAGATTCCATCTGATTTTTCTCCACATCTACATACCTGGACTGGTAGTGAGTCCAGGCATAGTTAGAATACAAAAAGAACAGGATGAATACAAAGCAGGAAAGAAAAAAAAATGTAGATTTCATCCTCTCCCTCCTCTGCTCAAAACCTTTGACCCCCCCCCCCCGCCGCCATTGCCTTATAGACTCAAGGCCAAATGTACACAGCCCCATTTACCTCCAGTTTTTTTGGGGGGGGGTGGGAGCACTGCCCTAAACATCAAGTTTATTGTGCCGTTCTCACATTCCAAACCCAAACCCCACCTCTCCCAGTGGGGAACAGCAGAGGGAAGGATTTTCACAGTACCTGCAGACCTCCCCATCAACATTCCCCTCTTAACCCTCAGTCCGTCTATCTGTGGTCCACTGAGACACAGCTAGGACAAGGGCCGAGGAGAAATGGGAATCTCTCCTTGGGACAACAGGAGCAAGAGGCTAGAGAACTTGATACCCACCACCTCCCATGCCCCAGGAGAACAGAGGTCAGCAAACCGTCCATGCCATCCAGCCCAGTGGAGTGGGGGAGAGGAAGATGATGGTGACTCCAGCACAGCCGGGCTTGCTGCTTAGGCGCCAGAGGTGTAGGGAAGAGGCTGGGGCAGCAACACAGGAAAGGCTTTCTCTGCAGATCCAAGAGAGGAAACTATCTTTGGAGCCAGAAAGAAAAGACCTTGGGATACTTTCCTCTTCCCCCAGGTCCTTTGTAGCAGCGGGCAGCTTCTTCACACTGTCTGTTCAGGAGGCCACTTAGTGGCTGGGGGGATGGGCCTTGTGGAACAGTTACAGGACAGGACACTGGAAGTCTTTGAAGGTGTTGTGGGGTGTGGCCACAAGCTCCTAGCTGGAGGACCCCACCTCTGGGGATGTCAGGTAGGAAGTGAACTGCTCTGGCTTCAGCTGAATTTGATGATAGTTCTTGTAGATTGTTTCCATGAGAGTCTTTCTCTTGCTGTAGGATGACCAAGGCTGGGGCTCCAGGACCAGGATGCCCCTAGGATGTAGGTGCCAGTAGATCTGGCAAAACACGCACTTCAGCCCGTCGTCTGTCCAGTTGAAATGCACCCACCTGTTGAGGCCGAGGCAGAGCACCACGTCTTATGTGAGCGTTTGGGCCTGCACCAGCTCATCTCGATCCAGCGCAAAGTTACCTGCCCTGGAGAATTCTCTGCTGAACTAAAAAAAAAAAAAAAAAGGCACTAAAACAGGCGATGTTGTCCAACTTCCACTTCCCCCAAAATGGCCAAGTCCTGCTCCAGTTTTTATTCCCACCTTATTCTCATGTGTTCGCTCTACTCCCGTTATATATGTCTACTTTCTGTTCTATGAATAACTCAACTCTGCTGCCTCCACCTGTACCTTACCCTTCAGCTTCTCTCCTGAACATTGAATCCTACTGCAGCCTTTCAAGGTCACTTGCTTAAATACCACCCTCCTCCATGGTGCCCGTCTTTAGCCCCATCAGAGGTGAAGAACTCTGAGGTCAAGGGGCCTGAATTCTTATCATAGCTCTGTCTCTTACCAGCTGGGTAACCTTGGGCAAGTCACTTAACTCAGGACTTTAGTGTTCTTATCTGTAAAACAGGGATAGTAGGACCTGCTGAGCTTCTATTTGTGAATTGACATGAAACTCAAATAAGAATATATGTTAATATATTAAGTACTTTGTAAATATAAGCACTTTGTAAAACTGTCGAGTATTATACAAATCAAAAGTTAAGATGGTTCTGTTTAGCACAATCTGTAATGTAGATTTTGTGCTGTAAGAGTGGTGAAGAATTCTGGCTGGGAACATTCATTAAGGAGGGGGTAGTAGTGAATGGTTGGGGACTAGAGCAGTAGTTGTCAAGCATGGCTGCAGTTGGAATAACCTGAAGAACTTAAAAAAAATACTGATGCCCAGTACCACCTCCAGAGCTTCTGATTTTTTTGTCTGGGGTACAGCCTGGTGACTTTGGATAGCTTCCCAGGTGGTTTTAATGTGCAGCCAAGGTGAAGAACTGCTGGAGTAAAGGAACTTTCCTGGGCTCTGCTTTTGTTCCAGGTGCTTTATATAAAGTACCTCATTTGGTGAGAAGGATTCTCAGGTGGGGTTGTTGTGGTGGTTGAAGGCACAGAAGCAGGAATGAACTGGGCACTTTGGAGATGCGGAGTGATCACATGAATGAACAGAGAGAGGTGCCAGAGACGCAGGTCTGGCCCTGATTTTGAAAGATTTTGTGCACTCTAGGCAGAGGAGCTTAAGCTCTCTCTGGGGCCTTGTGAAACCAGTACAGGCTCCTGAATGGCAGCAGGGATAGGGTTGTAGTCTAAGGCTTGGAATGGAGGAGGAAAAGACCAGTGCTAGCACTGGGCATGGGAGACATTGAACAAGAAGAGGGAAGGAAGACTTTGTTGTTGCTCAGCTATTGTGGGTAAAAAGACTGTGATAATTCCAAGGAGTTTAGTCCAGGTGACTGGGAGAAAGGTGGTACCAGGACAGGTGAGGAAAAGATGAGTACCATGTACTGAAGTTTTAAGTTGATGGTGCTGAAAGTGCAGGAGTGGTTTTGGGGTGAGGGTACATTCACTACTGAATTCCTGATCCTATTCTACCCACAGGAGTTCTCTTATTATTGCTTTCCTATCCTAGGGTCGACCAACAGATAGCCTTCCCTATGATCCTGACTTGGTGTTGATTTTTGCCTTAACCCTTCTTGTTTTTCCTCAACAGTTTGGGGGGAAGCTGGTTACCTTTGGCCTCCCCAGCACCCCTGCCCATCAGGTGCCACAGCCTTGCCTCCGCCTAGTCTTCATCAGTCAGGTCACCACAGAACCTGAATTCCTCATGCGGTCAGCTGAGCTGCAGAAGGGCCTGGGGTCAGGAAATCTCCTGAATTACTGTCAGAACAAGATCCAGCAAGCATCACTGCAAAGCGAAAAGATGCTCTGGCAGTTCCTGAAAGTAGGAAGCCTGAAGGCTGGCTGCTCAGAAGTGTTTCTCCAAAGCCGGGCACCCTAGCCTCTGTCAACAACCACCACGTGGCCCAGATTACAGAGGCCCTAACCTCGCTGGGATTTTTCCTACATGGCACCCACCCCGGGCACAAAGTCTTCACCCTTTACCCGAGGCTCAGAGACCATTCATGGCTATAGGGGAACTGAGGAGTACAAGCAGCATTTGCCTTTTTCCTACTGTTGCTGATGTCCTGGCTACTTTACCAGAGCCAAGATGAAGGCTTTCACAGTGCCATGCCACAGTGCAGTTAAGGTGATGGGAATGGAGAAGAAAGAAAGGGAAAGGAAGGGAAGAGGATCAGCTGGAAGGCTTTGAGTTGTTTCAGGTAACCCAAGGCAAGTCATTGTGGTGGGACTCAGGGCTCAAGTCCCACTCTACTCTGGAGGCATGGTTTCAGTTGCAGCATCAGTTTAATTTCAGGTTGCTTGTGACACCATGATGAGTGCTTTATGTGTCAAAGGAAGTGAGCATGTGAGAGGAGAGAGCTGAAGAAAGAAAGAAATAACTGGACAGGCAGTGAGAGGATTAGTCATATCTTTGGGATTATAGAATAGAATGCAAAAAGAAGGACAGGGCCTGTCGTGGGGGGTCTGAGAAGAACTTGGAGTCTGTGCTTCAGATATACTAGAACTTTTTGCTTTGTTTTGTTTTTGCGGTACGCGGGCCTCTCACTGTTGTGGCCTCTCCCGTTGCGGAGCACAGGTTCCGGATGCACAGGCTCAGTGGCCATGGCTCACGGGCCCAGCCACTCCGCGGCATGTGGGATCTTCCCGGACCGGGGCACGAACCCGCGTCCCCTGCATCGGCAGGCGGACTCTCAACCACTGTGCCACCAGGGAAGCCCTATACTAGAACTTTATGAAGGTCGATACCAGAAATCTGAGGAGAAAAGGATCTGAGGAAGATCATCAACCGTAGAATGAAGCTAGAAAGAGATGTGGGAAGAAAATAGTAAGAAATAATGCTATTGTTATAAGCAGGATACAGGTAGTAGCTCCAGGAATGGTGGGGTGGGAAAGAGTAGAGGGAATAATTGGGAGTTCAGCCTTTACTCTGCTGAACAAAGGAGGCATTGGTGCCCATAGGACAGAGGGGAGAGTCTGATTTAAAAGCTACGCAAGAGCTGTTCATGATGATGGTCCTGAAGCTGGGTATGGATGAACATTTCCAGGAGAAGAAGATAGAATCAGAAGAGTCTGATTCAAAGCTACGCAAGAGCTCTCCATGATGATGGTCCTGAAGCTGAGTATGGATGAACATTTCCAGGAGGAGAAGATAGAAGAAGAAGGGGGCCCTGAGAGACTATGAGAAAGATCATAGTAAGAATTCATGGTTCAGTGTGGGATAAATGAAGGGCCCAGGCCAGCTAACCCATTAGGGTAGGGCTTCAGGAAGCCTTGGCCCTTAGTATCTGGAACACTGAGTGGGTAAGCTGACTTCGTTTACTATATCCATGCAACTTCCACTTAGGAGTCTTCTCACCTAGCCGTTTAGACTCATAAGGCTACTGAAGGCTCACTTGGCATCAGTCTCCTCAGAAGGATAGGGGACAGGAACCACAGCTTGTCAGCAGGGCAGCATCAGGGAGCATCAGGTGGTTCTCTTCTGTGGGAGTCCTTGTTACAGTCCATGAGGCAGCTTAGAGTTCTCTCCTTCAGCTCCCCAGGTGCAAGAAGATGAGATATACATCAGGCTGCTGTGCTAGCTGCCCTGGCTTGGAAGCTCCAGGCCCACAAGAGCTAATATCTCTTGTACAAACTCCAAAAGCATAGCTTCTAGGGTCCCTGCAAGGGATCTGTTTAGCACAGGAGTCCTTGCTATCAGGGAAGCCCATAGCATGGTGTCCACATCAATTATTTATAGTTTACATAGTTCTGGTCCAGATGCAATTTACCAGTCACAAGCTGTGTTGCCTAGAAACATAGCTGACATTTTACTCTTATCAGGTTACCAGGGCAATAGATCTAGGAAGTCAACTGAAGGTCCAGTTCTCATTGCAGAAGGGGGAAAGGGTTTGTTAACACATCTGCCCACACCCCAACAGGAATCAAGTCTGGGGAGAAATAGGGAGAGATGGTGTTGGCCTCAGTGAGCACTGGTAGTACAGTAGTACAAAGAACTACATTTGAGGGTACACTGGCACAGATGTCCAGCTGGTGCAGGAGAGCATCTTTCACATTCATTTAATGGAGACTTCTATGTTCTGTGGCTCCTTAGGTGACCTTAGAGAAGGACTCTAGAATGAAATTCCTAAAACTATTAGGATACAATAAAGATGAACTTCAGAAGAAGGTAAGCTGCTTTCACATCAGAAACGTGCTTGATGCAGAAAAGAGAATCCTGCCAGTGGAAACCGTCTCAGAATACCTCTTCCATTAATACACATACGAGCATTTTACCTTCTGAAGGTAGTCTCTTTCCCAGGAAAATACCTCAAGGATCTTAGCGAGTCCAGTTGGTGGGGTAGGGAGGTGGGAAGAAAGCATAATGCTTATTTGACCTCATGCTGGGAAGAGTGGTACTCATAAGTCTCTCCCTCCAGGTGGCCACATGGTTGAAGAGTGATTTGGGGCTGGGTGAGAGCCCTCAGCCCAAGGGAGTTGACCTCAACAGTAACAGACAACAGGCCTTTTGCATCCAGGTGCGGTAGGAGCACAGCCAGCCTAACCTAGGGTAGCATAGAAGATCTGCCTTTAGGGTATCTTCCCCTTCCTAGCCCTAAGCTTTGCTCTCAGTAAGTGCTCAGCTTCTGTGGAAGTCTTCAAACTCCTCATTCATTTAAAACCAGAGTGAGACACAGAGACCTAAGCTTTTAGGCTAGGGGTAGAGTTGTGTTTTAACCATGAAGTAGAGCACTTCCCAAACCATACCTGGTTATTCTTTTAGCTTTACCCATTGAGGGCCAACTCTTTTATTTTTTTAATTGAAATATAGTTGATTTACAATGTTGTGTTAATTTCTGCTGTATAGCAAAGTGATTCATATATACATACATTCTTTTTTATATTCTTCCCCAGTATGGTTTATTACAGGATACTGAATATAGTTCCCCGTGCTATACAGTCGGACCTTGTTGTTTATCCATTCTATATGTACTAGTTTGCATCAGCTAATCCCAAACTCCCACTCCATCCCTCCCCCACCCCCTCCTTCTTGGCAACCACAAGTCTGTTCTCTATGTCTGTGACTCTGTTTCTGTTTTGTATTGATAGATAAGTTCATTTGTGTCATATTTTAGATTCCACATATAAGTGATATCATATGGTATTTGTCTTTCTCTTTCTGACTTCACTTAGTATGATCATTTCTAGGTCCATCCATGTTACTGCAAATGGCATTATTTCATTTTTTATGGTTGAGTAGTATTTCACTGTATATCTGTACCACATCTTCTTTATCCATTCATCTGTGGGTGGACATTTAGGTTGTTTCCACGTCTTGGCTATTGTGAGTAGTGCTGCTGGGAACGTAGGGGTGCATGCATCTTTTTGAATTATAGCTTTGTCTGGATATATGCCCAGGAGTGGAATTGCTGGATCATATGGCAACTCTATTTTTAGTTTTTTAAGGAACCTCCATACTGTTTTCCACAGTGGCTGCACCAGCTTACATTCCCACCAACAGTGTAGGAGGGTTCCCTTTCTCCACACCCTCTCCAGCATTTGTTATTTGTAGACTTTTTCTTAAAATAAATTTATTTATTTTATTTATTTATTTGTGGCTGTGTTGGGTCTTTGTTGCGGCGCACGGGCTTTCTCTAGTTGCAGCGAGCGGGGACTACTCCCACACTGAGGGAGGAGACAGAGGAGCGGCCTGAACTCTGGGAGGTCAAGCCATGTTGTCAGGGACTAGAGTGCATCCCTCTACGTTTAGTAGAGGGCATTTATGGTCCTCTTTTACTTTTTCTTGTCACATCTCAGTGCAAGAGCTTTGCCCTTCACTGCAGAGCAGGATTAACCTCACTGTTGTCTTAAAGCCACTGAGGCTACTTGTTCCATAGCTCATGGTCCCCCACCTCTTTTCAAACAGGAGGAGGAGGAGCACAGGGAATCTGTGCCGTTTAAGAAGTTTCTGTCTCTCTACAGACATGCTGGGAACTCACATGGATCAGGAGGGTGGCAGGGCACTAACTTCTGAAGCCAGGCTCTGTTACGTGTGCTCAGGAAGTGTGGAGCGGCTGGTGGAGTGCTGGGCAAAATGCCCCTGGGCTTCATCTCCCATGGCTCTACAGGTACCCCTTCTCTGCAGGGCCCTGGTCCCCCACATCAGGCCTTTAGGAGGGGCTAGCAGTGGAGATTGCAGGGACATCAGAGGTGAGTCTTTTGAGTAACCAGGCTGGAATCAGGGTATTAGGGAAGAGATTAGGGCCCCTAAAGTCTGGGACCTTTTCCATGGGTAAGCTATCATCTTCCTTCTTTCTCAGTCAAGGGAGACTGAGCAGCAGCTGCTTAGATATTAACCGTCGTAATTTTTTCCCACTTCAGGTTTGGGTGTATAAGTTTACATGATATTTGAGTAATTGTGAGCTTGGGCCTTCTATTAGCTTCTGTGAAAAGTCCTGTATCTAAATTGTACCAGATACTCTGTGGGTACCCAGAGAAGGTGGGGGTCGCAGACTCATGCGGAGACAAAGTCACACATGAAATAAGAGTATAACAGAATCTGAAGTTGATGATGTATTAGCATAAAAGATAAAAAATCCAAAAAGAAGAGGCGGAAATGTATAAGAGTGTAAGACTCAAACGGCTTGGGAAGTGAAGCCAAGTGGCCCTTCTCTGACTGTCATATCTCTTATATATCTTATATCATCATCCGCTACCTGCACCTGCCTATGGCCAGGTGCCCTCATACCCATAGCAGGGAAGTCCTTGGTTGAGCTGCCTGGGCTTGGAGAGCAGGATGTGCTTTGAAGAGGGCTGACTGCCCTTATCCTTGTCCCTATAGGACCTGATGGAGAAGGTGATGGTCCCTAACAGGAGCTTGAAGCTACTGTGGGGTGCTGATGGGGTGAGCCCAGGCCCTGCCACAACCTACAGAATCGCTCAGTATGCCAACCTCCTGGCAGCCCAGGGCAGCCTGGTCACTGCCATGAGCTACCTACCCAGTGACAGTGCTCAGGTGAGTGGGGGCATGTGGAGAGAGCATACCATTTCAATCAGTCATCTAACACTCGCTGAGCACTTCGATGTTCCAGGCACTATGCTAAATGCTGAAGCTCCCAGGATAAATAAGATCTAGTCCCTCAGGAGGTTCACAGTCTCTTGGGGGAAAATCAGATGTCAATAATTTATCCTGCTATAACAGAAGCTTATACTAAGCACTGTGGGACTTCACAGGCAAGGGGCTGGCTTTGTCTGGAGAAGTCAAAGAAGGCTTCCCAGTGGTTAAAACATTTGAGCTGGACCTTCAAAGAGAAATAGCTTACCAGAAGATGTCAGGCATTCTAGGCAGAAAGAACAGCGAGAAGGAAGGCTTGGCAGGAATTAGAGACCTTTTGAGTCCTCTAAGGTGGCTGAAATGTAGAGGGTCGGCTGAAGTTTGAATGCTGTGTGGGGCCAGGCTTGTAAGAGGGGTTGTTTGCTTGTTTTAACTTTACTTAACACAGTTCTTCATGATTATAACTTTTATAGCCACCAATTCAGCAGCTGAGAGATTGGCTTTTTCATGCCCAGGGTTCTGGTGTCTTGGGCCAGCAGTCTCCCCCTTTCCCCTTTCCCCGGGTTATTGTGGGAGCTGCTCCCCACTCTCAAGAGACATCATCTCCCAGACTGGGATTCCAGTCTTCTCACCAGGTAAGATCTTGCTTGTTCATTCATTCAAAAATACCTGTTAAGTGTCTACCAAGTGCCAGGCATGATTTTATAATATATTTATAATATAATATATTTATAATATATTAGTGAAAAAAATGATGAAAATTCCTGTCTTCATAAAGTGTAGATTCAGTTATTTTTCTAACAACTATTTATTGAACAACTACTAGGCACTTAGAACAGAAAGGTACACAAACCATGATCCTTGCCCTTAATTAGCTCATAGTCTAGTCTAGGAAAGATAGGTAAAAATTTACTACAGTAAAATTCATAAATACCATGATTGTAATATGATTAAAGATTAAAGAGCCATGAGATCACACAGAAGAAAGCAATTTACTGGGGGTGGGGGAAGTTCAGGGAATGTTTCAGAACGAGTATGATGTTTGATCTGAGTCTTGAAGGTTAAAAGTTATTTAGGCAAAGGAAGAGGTAAGGAAGGCTATTTCAGGCAGAGGGAATGGCATCTACAAAGGCAGTGAAGGGAAAGTAAGCAGAGTCCATTTGAGGAATGACTAACATTTTAATGGGGCTACAAAACAGGTGTTTGTGGCAGTGGACTGAGTTAGATGAAGCTGGGGTAACAAGTGGTAGTTAGATCAGGAGAGACCTGGCATTCTGTGTTCAAGAGTTTAGACTTGAGGGACTTCCCTGGTGGCGCAGTGGTTAAGAATCCTCCTGCCAATGCAGGTGACACGGGTTCAAGCCCTGGTCTGAGAAGATCCTACATGCCACAGAGCAACTAAGCCCGTGCGCCACAACTACTGAGCCCACGTGCCACAACTGCTGAAGCCCACGCACCTAGAGCGCGTGCTCCGCAACAAGAGAAGCCACTGCAGTGAGAAGCCCATGGACTGCAATGAAGAGTAGCCCCCGGGCTCTCCGCAACTAGAGAAAGCTGGCAGCGGAGTAACGAAGACCTGACACAGCCATTAATTAATTAATTAATTAAAGAAAGAGTTTAGACTTGACCCTGAAGGCAGGCAGGAGCTATTGAATGGTCTTATGCAGGGGAAGGACTAGCTATGTGTCTAGGAACGGCAAGGCTAGAGGTGGTTAGGAAGCTATAGCAAGAGATAGTGAGGGAATGAAAGACCTGAAACTAGAGTGAGGTTGGATTTGAGATATTTAGTAGGTAGAATTGACAGAAACTGGTGATGGTTAAGAGGAGTGTGCTAAATGGGGGGACTGACCACAGTGCCCAGATGGATAGGATGCTGTTGATTTATGAGACCAGGAGCCTACTAGAGGGGAATAAAATCCAGGGAGATTGTAGATAAAGGTATCAGGTAGAAAAGTTCTGATGATTCATCCTGTCCCACCTTTAATTCCCACCCTAATTTTTTTTCCTCCCTCACCTTCCCCCTCCCTCCTCCTCCTCCTCCTTCCCTACTTGCTGGCTCTCTCTCCCTCCCTCCCCCTCCCTTCCCTCTCCCTTTCCTCTCACTCTCTCTTTTCTATAATTACAGATTCACAGGAAAATACAATAAAATGTATTGGGAAGTCTCATACATCCCAAGCCCACCACATCCCATGCCAGTGTCCCACACAACCACAATACAATATCAAGGCTGAGATATTGACATTAGTATAATTCACAGATTCAGATTTCACTGGTTTTACATGTGTTCATTTGTGTGTGTGGTGTGGGTAACCATGTATGAATTTTACTTTTCATCTTTTTAACAGAGTCCTTCACAGAGCAAAAAAATTTAATTTTATAAGGGCCAGTTTATGACGTTTTCCTTCTTTGGATCATGCTTTTCATGTCAAGTCTAAGAGCTCTTAGCCTAGTCCAAGGTCCCCCAAATTTACTACTGTGTTTTTTCTAGAAGTTTCATAGTTTTATGTTTTACATTTAAGTCCATGTTCCACTTTGAGTTAATTTTTGTGCAAGTGTGAAGTTTGGGTCAGGTTTCCTTTTTTTTTTGCCAATGGATGTCCAGAATCATTTATTGAAAAGGCTGTTCCTCTTCCATTGAATTGATTTTGCTCCTTTGTCAAAAATTAGTCAGACATATTCGTATGGACTTATTTCTCAGTTCCGTGTTCTGTTCCACTGATCTGTGTGTCTGTCCTTCTGCCAGTACCACTCTGTCTTGATTACTACCTCTATATCAGTAAGTCTTGACATGGGGAATAGTAATTCCTCCTACTTTATTTTTCTGTTTAAATATCTGTTTAATATCTGTTTAAATATTAAATATTTAATATCTGTTTAATATCTGTTTAAATATTAAATATTAATTAAATATCTGTTTCTGTTTAAATATCTGTTTTCTGTTTAAATATCTTTGGATATTCTAAGACCGTGTTCTTTTCAAATAAATTTTAGAGTAAGTTTGCCTATATCTAAAAAGAAACTTGCAGAAATGGACAGGAATTGCATTGAAACTATAGATTAATGTAGGGATAGTTGACATCTTTACTATATTGAGTCTTCCCGTACATGAACATGGTATGTCTCTCCAATACTGTCTCCATCAGCACTTTATAATTTTCATCATACAGCTCCTGACATGTTTTGTTCATTTCAAACATAAGTATTTAATTTTCTCTTGAGCAATTTGAAATCAAATGGTATTGCATTTTTAATTTTGGTTTCCACTTGTTTATTGTCAGTGTATAGAAAAGTAATTGGTTTTTATGTGTTAATCTTGTATCACGTGACTTTTCAATGCTCATAAATGAGATTCCTGAACTCATTTATTTGCTTTAGGAGTGTTTTGTGGATTCCTTGGGAATTTCTATGTAGATAGTTATGTCATCTGTGAATAGAGACAGTTTTATTTCTTTTTTTCCAAATTGTATGCCTTTAATTTCTCTTGCGTTATTGTAGTACTAAAATAAGAATGGTGAGTGTGAACACCCTAACCTTGTTTCCAGTCTTAGAGGGAAAACATTCAGTCTTTCACCACTAAATATGATGGTAGCTCTAGGTTTTTTGTAGATGCTCTTTATGAGGCTACGGAAGTTTTTCCATCTGTTCCTGGGGTACTGAATCATGAATCAGTGTTGAACTTTGTCAGATGTTTTTTTCTGCATCATTTTATATGATCAAATGATTTTCCTTCTTTAATCTGTTGATATAGTGGATTACGTTGATTGATTTTTAAATATATCATGATATACATTGCATGACCTGGGGTAAATCTCATTTGGTTGTGGTATATTATTTTTATATACATTGTTGGATTTGATTTGCTAAAATTTTGCTGAGGATTTTTGTGTCTTAAGTTTATGAGAAATATTGGTCTGTAGTTTTATTTTGTAGTGTTGGTATCAGGGTAGTACTGACCTCATAAAGTGAGTTAGGAAATGTTCCTTCTTCTATATTCTGGAAGAGATTATGTAAACTTTGTGTTAATTCTCTGAATGTTTGGTAAAATTCTCCAGTGAAACTATCTAGGCCTCGAGACTTTTTTTGGTGGTGGGGGGGAGCTTTTTAATTACAAATTTAATTCCTTTATTAGTTATAGAAATATTCAGGTTTTCTATTTAATTTTGGCTGAGTTTTGGTTCTTGAGGAATTTGTCCGTTTTTTCTAAGTTGTCAAGTTTATGAATGTAAAGTTATTTGTAGTATTCCTTATTATCTCTTTAATGGCTGCAGGGTCTGTTGTAATGTTCCCTGCTTCATCCTTGATCTTGATGAATTGTGTCTTCTCTCTTTATCTTTGTCAGTCTTTATAAAGGTTTATCAGTTTTGTTGATTTGTTGGAGACCTGTCTAGGCAGAGCACAGAGGAAAACATCTGGCACGGCCAGAATGGATTTGGGAGGCAGTATGTCTATCTAATGAGAGGAGCTTAGAGTTTGAAGTCTGAATTCTCAGTACTGTCAGTTACTGGCTTTGTACCTGTGGGCAATATACCTAGCCACTTTGTTTCTTTTGAAAATTGAGAGTGGTTGTTATGTTGGTCATTTCAACCCCACAGGATTGTTCTGAGGGTCAAATAAGGAATATAGTTAAAAGTACTTTGTAAATGGTAGATCTCCACACACATATATTAGTTATTTATTATTATTATAGTTTTTTAATTGCTGCTTTATTCCTCTCTGATGTGCTCTGAGTCTCTCCCAAATTGAAATTTGGTGGCAAATGACCTGTTTCTATCCCATTTCAGCTTTATCTCAGCCGCGGCTGTCAGGAGGGCAAAGGGTGCAATCTCCTAACCCCGTGGGATTCCCTGGAACATGGCCTCTTCCTGGTGCACCCACAGCACCCCCAGACATTATGCAGGCTGGTTCTGCCTCCCTGCCTGAGACTCCTCGACGGCTCCCTCTGCTTCCTGTGAGAGCACCAGGCTTCAACCCTATGAGCTCCCAGCCGCCAGCCCCTCCTGTCACCTTCTCTGCAGCACACCCTCCAGGAGGGCCAGGTGCTCCATGCGCCGATACCTTCCCAACCACTGGCATCTTGACTCCTCAGCCGGGTGAGTCTTCTCCCATGGCCTCCCTCTCCTCCCCTCCCCACTACCACCTTGGGAGTCTCTTTCCTCAAGCCAATGAACTGGGGTTGGAGAATGTCAACTTAGAGTGTGGCTGGTCTGTGGAGGGAGGTGTGGCAGACTCCAACTAAAATAATTTTCCTGGTCTTCAGACCAAAAATTACAGTGTTTTTGATCATGCCCCTAAAATACCTCTATATTTATACTATTCGGGACCTCAAGATTCCTTGGAAAATGCTCCAGTGCCCAGGGGAAACCTCCAGAGGAAAGAGGTCAACACATCTCCCCCCCACTCAACCCCTTATACATTCACCAATGACCCACACTCTAGTTCCGTACAGAAAGCAGCCTGGTCCTTCCTGTTCTGCTTTCCCCACTCACTCTTCTCCCCTCAGCTCCCTCCTCTTTCCTTCTTATACACATTCACCATCTTCTCACTTCCAGGTTCCCCACGCACTATTCTGTGTCCTCGTTCATTCATAATTTCTGCCACTCCCTCAAAGTAGGGCCGAAGGAGTCTTTCAGCTTAGACTCATGTGCCTTTCTTTTCTCTCTCTTTAGTTGCCAGAGACATTCATGCCCCCAGCACCAATTAGTGCTCCAGTTATGTGCCTCACCCCTGAGCCACGAGGGGTCCTTTCCTCACAGCCTGCTGTCCCCAGTGTGAGTCATGCTCCCCCTGGAGCCCCAGGAGAACTTAGCCTGTAGGTGACAGGAATGATGTGTTTCCCTCCTCTTGGAAACCTTCTTTTCTTGGGTATAGAAAAGCAGGGAGCACGGTAGATGGCTTCATTCCTCAAGTTGGAGGCAGACTCTGGGCTGAAGGAGATGGGGTGGGGGGCAGATACCAAGTGTCTCTACTGCAGACAAGGGAGGATGCCCCTCCTCAGCTCTGCTCTGCTCTAGTGGGAGCAGTGTGACCCCCAAGTCACTGAGGACTAGTCCTGAGGGGAGCCATGAGCAGGACAGCTTGCCTCTCCCTCCTGTGTCCCTGCTCCCTCCTCAGCAACTTCAGCGGCCACCTACGAAGATGGACAGGAAGGAGCTGCCCCCTGAACATCAGTCCTTGAATATCAGCTTTGAGGTGCTTCTGCAGCGCTGCTCCCTGTCTGCCACTGACATAGTGAGTCTGAACCTTCCCCATGATGCTCCCCTCCTACCCTAGCTGGTCCCAGGACCCCTTAGCTGTAGACCAGTTCCTTGTGTGACTCTTCTTACTGTCCCTGGACATGCTGCCTGTATCTTATACTTGTTTGATGTCCATGTGGAGTTGGGGAGGACTTGTCTGGTCTGGAGGTTATCTCCTTGGCAGCAAGACTAAACAGCACTGAGACTTAGCGCTTGGAAAGGCCGCAGGGAGTACTGCAAGGAGGGTGAGACCAGGAGTGAGGAGACCTGCCATTCATTCCTGGCTGCGTCAGCTTGAGCGAGTCACTTGGCCTCTTCAGGTCTCCTTTTTGTCCTCCGTGAAATGAAAGAGCATTAAGCCATTCTAGCTCTAAGGTACCGTGATTCTTTATGGTTCTGTGTAGTGTTAGGCATAGTAGCTGGAATCAGAATCCATTTCCCTCCCTGCAGAAGACAAAACGGAAGCTGGATGAAGCAGCCCAACGTCTAGAATGTCTATATGAGAAGCTCTGTGAAGAGACAGTAAGTACAGGCAGTGGTGCTCCTCTGCCTCCCACTCTTCCACCTTCACCCATGGCCAAAGGGTGCCCAGTGTCCCTTCCTATGGGCCTCACCGACCCTGGGTTCCTTACAGAGTATAGACATCTTGCCTGGACTGGGCTCTAGAACTTAAGTCCTCGCTTCTCCCTTCCATGCCTCCAGGGTAGGGGTGGGGTTGGGCTTACTGACTGCGGGCTAATCCTTCCACAGCTCTCGCCTCCTGTCGTGGCTGGGCTCCACGAGGTTGCCCAATGTGTGGACGCAGGACGCTTTGAGCGGGGCCTCGCTGTGCATGCTCAGGTGGTGAGCTGCAGCAGCTTCAGCGAGGTCTCCAGCTTCATGCCTGTCCTGAAGTCCGTCCTCACCATCGCTTATAAGCTACACATCTAGACCAGGCAGCTCCTCTTGCCAGGAGGCCACTTCTACTTTACTTAACTCCTTCCTGCAGGAAAGGGGAATTTCGGAACAGATTCCGTTTGTTTTTCCTAGCCCTCTTCCCTTGCTGCCAGGTATATGATGCTGTAGGCTTGGCTCCAAACAGGCAGAGTGCCTGCTCTCCACCCCTTTATGCGTGGCCCTCTGGGATCTGCTCAGGGCTCTCTCAGCCTGTTCTTCTTCACCTTCCCTAAAACTGTACTCCAACAGGGCCTGGTGCAGTGTGTCTTCTCCCCCGGGGATATTCTAAGTGGCTTCTGAGAGGGTGAGCAGGATCGTTACTTCCAAGTCTACCTCGACTGTACCCATCCTGTGGGTCTTTTGTCTTTCCCCTTCTGTGGGTTATGAGCCTGACTTTACCTTTTCCTTGCCTCTGACTTCATATATCCAGGTTCATACTTCTCTGAGCCACAGAGGCTGGGGTAGAGTTGACTGCTGTTCACCCTTTGAACAAGTCATACACATGAGGGATGGGTGCTGAGCACAACGAAGAGAAGGAACTCAGACCCTTTTAAGAAGGGACCTCTCAACTGCCAGCATTGTTAAGGGTGGGCTAGGTGAGGTGGAGGGTGGATGGGATACCTTTTGCTGAGAGCTGTCTTAGGCTATGGGATAGGAGCAGAGGGACCACTACCTGTGTGGAGTGGCCCCTGACTCAGCCTGCCTGATCCCTGGCCCAAGGCCTAGACCACTCATTCTGTGATTAGAAGCCATATTAATGAAAGAGTCTTCTAGCACTGTTCTTCAAGGCTTGGAGGCCCTCTTCCCCCAGCCCCACACTTCTCAGGGCTGCCTTCTCTGGCTGCGCTTTCATCGTTGGACTCTGCATTTGAAGCACTGATGTACTTTATGTGCAATAAAGCTGCTTTAGTTTGGTTTCCTCTGTCATCTCCCAATTATTATCTCCTCTAGGTCCTATTTTGCTCTTATCTGTCTTCCCAGTCCTTTTTGTTCTTGTTCCCTATACCCTAATAAGGCAGGGGAGAGGCTTGGGGACAGATAGGAAGTCAGGAGAGTTGAAGAAAGGAGGTGGCACTGAATTAGGCTCTCCTTGCAGCATTTATGGTCACTCTGCTGTGTGTGTGTGTGTGTGTCTCCATCCGTGCCTGACATTCAGCTCCAGGGTTTTCCCCACACCACTTCAGGGCTGAGCTCAGCTACACAAAAGGGGCTGGGTGTGAAGCCAGGGGTACGATCTCTAATCCTGTTGTAGATCGCATCATGTCTGCGGGCTAGATGTGTGTGTTTGGGAGGAAAGGATTGTTAGGCAGTATTTGTTTGTAAAGCCACTTGCTCTTCAGATAATACTTGCACTAACTTCTATTGATGAAGCAGTGTGAGCCCCAGCAAAGTCCTTTCCCAAAGTGTCTTTGAAGCCAAGAGCCCATTGAAGGGAAGAAAGGCCGGGAGAGGGGATTAGTTTGTTCAGCAGCTGTGAATTTCAGTGGGAGGTTGATGAACTCTGAAGTCTTTGTTTAAATTAAAGGTGGGGAGAAAAAAGCCGCTGCTGGAGCGAGAGCCTCACTTGGGGCCCTGAACTAACACAAGGAGAAGTCTGAGCTGCGGGGAGCTGTGTACTGACTGCGAAGACTTTTCCCAAACACTTTTCGGGAAAGGTGTTATGAGAAGAGAAGGGGGCGGAGTGGGGGATTAGCATGTGAAATGAAGTTTTCATTGACTCCGTGGGGGTAGAAGGCTATTTTAATGGCATTTTGTTCTCTTATTTTCTCTTCTTGAGCTCTTTAGAGATATTGTTTTGCTAAGGCAGGCTTTCTTCCCCCTTCTTTCCAGTCTGCGGATTGCCTCTATGGGAGCCAACATAAATATTTCTCCTCCAGGAATGCGGGTTAATTAAAAGGAAATGAATGAGTGGAAGCATCCAATCCAGACCCACAATAGGCGAGTGCCCTGGCCTGCCCTTCCCTCCCACCACCACCAGCAACGCCAGCGCTGAGCACGACCCTGTCTCTGTCTTTGCCCTAACCTGCTGCTAAGGCCAGTTGAGGCTGCGATTCTTTTCAAGAAAAGAAAGCCCTGCCTGTGTGTAGGCTCACAGGCTAGGGACAGGAAGGAGACAGTGTTTTGTCCCCTCCACCCAGCGTCCTTGTCACTTCTCAGGACCTCCCTCTGCTTCTGTCCCCTGGCTGAGACAGATGGACTCCTAAAGAGCACACAAGAGGAGGGAAGGGGCCTGGGTTCCAGGACTCACCCCACGGTACCTTACTAGTTGGTGGAACAAGCCACACATCTTTCTCAGCATCAGTTTAAATCTGTAGAACAGAAGGTTTCACTAGCTGACCTCGAAGGCGTCTTCCCAAGCAACCGGTCTGGTTGTCCACATTTATAAAGGGGAACACAGCACTGGTGATTGGTTGTAAGAGAGAACCTACACTCCATGAATGCAGAAGGTCAGTGTGTTGTTCACCACTGTATTTCCACTCTGGTGTTCATTGAATGAATAAATGAATGAATAGATAACGCAAGAGGGGGGAAAAAAGCAATCCAGATCTAAGGTAGCTCAGTATTGTTTTCTTTATAGATGCAAATGAATGTGGTATCAATCATATCCATTTGGGAATACAAAACAACGTATGAAGGAACTTTCTGGCAGCATGACATGTTTCAAGTACTGACCTGGAGTTATCAAATGTGGAGCACAATAGTTCTACTTGTATGCTGAGAGACCTCCTGGAGAATGTCGCTTTCCTTTACAACATTGTACTTTTATATTTTCTAGCTGCCTTGCCAGATTTTCTTACTGTACACTATCAAGTAATTCTGCCAAGTGAGACAGCCAAGTTAGTACATGCTGCTGCTTCATTAGGGACGAAGGGTGAGTTGGGAGATTCAAGAGGCCCAGATCAAAGCTGAGGGAAGGAGCAAAAGGCCTTTTGCTGATGGAACTGGAAATGAAGCACTAGGAGACCCTGAAGGGAAGCATGTCCCCTGTAAGGAGGGAAGGGGAACCTCTCTCCTCAGTAAGTGTTAGTGGGACCAGAAGATGTGTAGGGATGAGGCCAGGGATTTGAGGTCTGACCTGGCCATTGTGTCAATTTGGAATATGGGAGCCTTTCCACTGTCACTGGTCAGCCTTTAGAGCCTCCACCCATTTTACCCACTTGGAGCCACGCCTCCTCTGTGCTTTCTCCTGCTCTACAAGAGGTGAGATGAAGTTGTCTAGCATTTGACCAGTTCTGCTCCGGAAGGGCTGCAGGGCTACCTGGTGCCTATGACCCAGGACCAGCCTAGGGGATGACTGGCAAGCTCCTTGGGCTGCAGAGGGTCTGTCAGGGATTAGTTCTTCCCTTCCCAGAGCCCTGTTTCACCAAGTCCCTCTTATACTACTGCTTTCTGAGAAGAGAACCAGAAGACTCAAGCACAACCAGCAGCAAGGTCTTAGCTACTGAGGGAATGTATTAGTGGAAGATTTATGGGGCTGATTTACTAATCCTTGGCAGATTAACCTCTGTCAGGTCAGGGTAACTACTTAGGCCATCAGGGAAGTGAGGCTCACAGGAGGATAGTATCCTGGCAAGGTGGGAGGGAGGAGAGGACCTAGAGGTTATATCTTATACACGCTCTTCCCCATATCCCCAAGAATAAGTTCAATACCTGAAAAAAAGGCACATGTCACAGTGACTGCAATAAATTAAGGTTCAAGGTGCTGAACTTCCTATTAACAGTTTCATTACAGGAAGTTTATGTATTGAAGGAAAGTATCCAATGCCTGAATCCTGCCTGTTTGAGAACTAGGTTAGTGAAAAGGAAGGGTCCCAGCTTCTCCTTCCTCATGACCTGTCTTCAGAGGTGCAAACCAGGGTCTGAATGGGAAATTAGCTTTATTTATCTCAGTCTTGGCTCAGGGGAATAAGATCCTTTGGGGAAAGAGAAGAGGTAAAGTTGATTGCTAGAAGGCTATAGGTTAGGAGCAGGGAGGAGGTTACTTTAAAGGGTAGGAAATGACTGGCAGTCTGCCCTTACATCATTCCTAGATGTCGTGGATATGTGTCTGGAGCACCTTGGGTGATTGTCTAGGAAGGTCATTGCCCCACTGGCAAAGTCCATTAGAGACATGGTATCACAAGGATGAGTGGCACCCTTGGTTTTCAGCAAGTCAGCATTCTAGGGTTCCCATTTCCTCCATCTTCAACCCCTGCCGCTAGGAACCAACCTCCAAAGACATGCTTTTTCCTGGGTCAGTTTCCTCAGTATCCCTTCAGGGAAGGAAGGAAGGAAAGGGGGGAGAGAAAGCAGAGATTCCTGGGGAGTCTATGCCAGCAGTTAGGGAATCAGAAGCACAGGAGGGCCTCTGCAGAAGGAAGATGTGGCTATGGCAGAGAGCTGGCAGCAGAAAATTGAGGGGGAGGGGGTGGGGATAGGGGGAGGGGGGAAGACGGGTGAAAGAAAAAAGCCGTGTTTTCCCTGGGCCCTGCCTATCTCGGAAGGGCTCTTCCAGTTCCTAAGCTCTCCACAGGCTAGGCCAGGCATTAGGGCAGCTGGGACCGGGAGGAGGAACGCCTATTCTCTTCCAAGGAAGATCAATAGCTCAGAATCTCAGAACAGAGGTTTCTCAGACCTAAGTGGTGAGCAGACGATGCAGACAGCGCGAGGAGAGAGCAGAGGAATTGTGGAAACAGGTTGGGAAGTGGCAAGCACAGGAGAGATTGCAGCGTCTCTCTCCCTCTCGGGATCCCTGGCCTTGGTAGTGTGGGGTCCCTATTCCCTAGATTCCTCTACTGCTGGGGTCTCTAAAAGAAGCCAAGGACAAATTGGGAAAGGAGAGTGGGGAAGGGGACCCTTAGGGTTTTCTCCCGGGTTTGTGTGCCGCGCCCCCCCGCGGCCGGTCCGCGCGACTGCAGAAGTACTTGGTGACCCGGCGGCGGCACTGCTCGCAGCGGACCGCGCAGCACCAGTGGAACTTGCAGTTGCAGCTGGACACGGTCTCGGCGCGGCGCTCCTCCACCGCTAGCCCACAGTCCCCGCAGAGCCGACGGCAGCTTCGGCGCTCCCAGCGGCCCAGGGCCCGGCCGCGCCGCAGGCACTCTCTGCCTTCGGTGCCCAGCAGTCCTAGCGTTTTGTTCTCCAGGCAGTAGTCTGGGGAGTCCTCCAGGTGCACCAGCTCCCTCGTGGAGATGGAGCGAAAGGTGTCTGCGATGGCGCCGCGGCCCGCCGCGCTGTTGCCAGCACCCTGCAGCAGGTCCACCTTGAGAGCTGCGTGGTACTTCTCTTTCAGGTGCGCGCCCACCTCTCGGAACTCAGGCAGCTGCAGCCAGCAGGTCTGCGTGGTGCAGCTGCCAGACACGCCGTGGCACTTACACGTGCGTTTCATGGTGCCCTTCACCGCCTGGGAAGAGAGCTAGGAGTGAGCGGGCCAGGGATTAAGCGCCTGGGGAGTGTCACCCTCTGGCGGATTGCGAGGATTCTAGCTAGTCTACGTGCCAGCCGCCTCGATGCCGCATTTTCCCAATCTGATGGATGAATTGAAGAGCCGTCCGCACCTAGGGCTGGTAGTGGATGGAGCCAGCTGCCTGACCCCCGGAGCTGCAGGACTCACCTTGCGGCCAGCCTCGTTGTTGTGCAGGTTCATGGCTGCCCGAGCATCCTGTCCTGTCTCCAGGGCATCGACGAACTGCTTGGATATTGCCTCTCCGAAGCCCACGTTGTCGCTGCAGCCTCCCCACAGCCAGCCTTGGCCCCCTGGAAAAAAGGCAGTGGGAAGAAAGGACGGCCTGGAGCCTCCTGGGCTGCTGGTTCTAGGTGGGTTTGGGGGATCTGAGGTGGGGAAGGGTTCAGGTGGGGCGAGTGCCCTGTCTCCAAATTAGTTTCACCCTAGATTTGTTTTTGCCACCTTTGTGCTCCTACTTCCAGCTTCAGCCAATCCCGTGTCCCAGGACGTAAGTAGCTGCCAAGTGAGGCAGGTGCCTGCTCACCCCGTTACTATGCTTCTGGCCTTTGGGCAGAGTATGCAGACCTCCGCCAGCAACTGACGTCTGGAAGGGACATGATGGTGCAAAAAAGGTGAGGAAAGCACAGCATCGAGGGGGAGAGAGAAGGGCAATTGAGATAATACGGAACAGCAGTTGGCAGTTGAGCTGCAGGGCAGAGGGTTGGAAAGGATAGTGGAGGTAAACAGTGGAAAGGAGACAGGGATAAGCAGCATGGAAGGGCATTCCCCCTATGTTTGAGACAGTAATAGGAATGATTCTGAAGGCAGGGTTCTTCCTTTATCATTATTGTGTTTAAATTAAGGAAACCACCCAGTCAGAGAAGGGTCCCTAGCTACGTTTAGCCTGGTTTGTCACTGTAGGGTTTGGGCTCAAACTGGTTTGCCCTGATTTTCCTCAGATTTAGAAGAATACAACTCTTGTTCACCCCACCAAGTACCCACCAAGCTTTTCACTACTTAAGTGAACTTCATTGGGCTGCCCTACCCACCCTCAAGATCACTACTCACCCAGTTGCCCATTGCGGGAGTCATCACAGCCACAGTTGTCAAAATCCCCAAGGCTGCAGTTTCTAGTCAGAGTGTACATAACCCCGGCAGAACTGATAGCATGTACAAATGCTGTCTCCCGATTAGCTGACAGGAACCAAAAATTGAGTGAGTTAGAGGGAGGAGTTACAGCCCAAAGACATACCTTTAATACCATCGTTATACCCGCCTCTCCCTGTTCCGTTCTATTTCCCCACCTTTATAATGTACCTTACTCTCTTCCAGGGTCTGCTCTAGCCCTGGTCTCAGCCCTGCTCTTCTTCCTTCCCATCTTTTCAGGTCACACATTTTATGACTGAGTGGCTAGATTATTTGATATGGGTGAGATTTAGGTGGGAAAGAGCCCAAGAAAGAAATGGGGGAGAATCTGAATGTCAGGTTGTAAAGAACCCATCCCTACTTCCTCCTGGAACATTGAAGTCTGAGAGGCAGGTGCTAGTCCCGGAAAGAACCACTGATTGGCAGCTCTTTCACTTTCTTGCATGGCCGCTTTTTATCTTCTCCATGGGAATCTGGGCTCCAAGTCAGTTCCCACTTGCCCTGTACCTCTCTGCTAAGCCTGCTGAAGGAAGGGGCTAAGAGGCATGAAGATTTACGACCCCTACCTACCTTATTTATATTTTGAGGAAACCTTTAGCCAGCCGGGAGACTGAGGGTGGTATAGGATTGGGGGTGAGGCAAGGTCCATTTGTTGAGCAGTGAGGGTATTGGGGAAGAAGGAAAAAAGCTCTATAGGTAGGAAAGAGGAGCTGGAGAAGGAACAGAGAAGATGCTGGAGAGGGAGATGACCTGAGAGCAGAGACCAGCTGAGGAACAAGGGTGTAGAGGAGGCAGGGGGCCATCCCTGGAGAGTGGGGCTCTAACCTGTGGCCAGGGGGTCCAGGGAGCTGTGGCCGAGGCTTTCCTTACCACTGCGAAGGCCGCCATGGCTGGACAGCTGCAGGGCTCTCTCAGGGCAGTTCCAGCGGTCCCAGGCAAACTGGTATTTGCATTCTTCAATACCACTCTGGGCACCAGCTGCCACGCTGCTGGAGTAGATCAAGTAAGCCTGCAGGGACACAGGGGTCAAACTTCAGACTCACAGCAACTGAACTTGGGAGGCATTTGCCCTAAAGTGGCCAAGCACCTCTTTTCCTGTGCACTCCCATCCCTCCAAAATCACGACAGAGTAAGCACTTCAAATATGCTTTTAACATCACAAATAACATCACAAATAAACTTAGGTAGAAACCTAAGCCTCAGAGAGGTGATGTAAAACAGTGTGCCCAAGGTCCCACCACTAGCAAATGTCTGAAGTAGGAATGAAAATCAGTTTCATTAGACTCTAGACCTCACTGCCTCTATTCATTATACTATTCTGTCACTCCAAAATGAGCCTCAATTACATAATTCATGAATATTCAGCCATTTTCATCCTACTACTAGCTTAGAAGAGAACATTTTGTAAGCTGGAAATGTCCTTAGAGATCATGTAGTACAATGCCAGCACTTGAAAGATGGAAGACAGCCTCCCACCCTGCGCTGAGGAGGATGGGTGACTGTAGCCTGACACTGCGAAAGAAAACAACTCTGGCTCTGGAAATTCTGGCCATAAATTCAGAGTCAGTAATCCTGAGTTCTTGTCCTGGCTCTGACACTAGTTTGCTGTGCGGTTTGGGGTGTGTCCGTAACCATTTCTGTGCTACAGTTTTTCTGCCTATAATATATACAGCATAATAAAAGATATAATAAAAGATATTGATATGTGTAGTCTTCAGTCAAGAAGATGAGTGAAATCCAAATAAATCAAAGGAATTTTTTTTCTTACCTTTGGACCAGTCATCAGGAAATTGTTCACTGACCTGGAAGAGAGAAAAACCACAGAACATAATAGAGATACACCAATTCATTGCTGCTGCCAAGAGTTGTGAGAATTACTTCAGCAAATATGCAGGCACACCTCAGAGATATTACTGGTTTGGTTTCAGACCACTGCAGTAAAGGGAATATCACAATGAAGCCAGTCACGTGAATGTTTTGGTTTCCCAGTGCATATAAAAGTTATGTTTACACTATACTGTAGTCTGTTAAGTATGCAATAGCATCATGTCTAAAAAAATAAAATGTAAGTGCCTTAATTAAAAAATACTTTATTATTAAAAGTGTTAATCGGCACCTGAGCCTTCAGCGAGTCGTAATCTCTTTGCTGACAGAGGGTTTTGCATCGATGTTATGCTGCTGACTGACCAGGGAGGTGGTTGCTGAAGGTTGGGGTGGCTGTGGCGATTTCTTAAACTAAGAGTAAATTTTGCTGAATTGATTGGCTCTTCCTTTCATGAATGATTCCTCTGTAGTAGGCAGTGCTGTTTGATAGCATTTTGCCCACAGTAGAACTTCCTTCAAAACTGGAGCCGATCCTCTCAAACAGTGCCACTGCTTTATCAACTAATTTATGTAATAGTCTAAGTCCTTTGTTGTCATATCAACAATACTTACAGCCTCTTTACTATGGGTAGATTTCATCTCAAGAAACCACTTTCTTTGCTCATCCATAAGAAGCAACTTCTCATCCATTCAAGTTTTATCATGAGATTGCAGCAATTCAGTCACATCTTCAGCCTCCACTTCTAATGCTAGTTCTCTTGCTCTTTCCACCACATCTGCAGTTACTTCCTCCGCTGAAGTCTTGAACTCTACAAAGTCAGCCATGAAGATTGGAATCAAGTTCTTCCAAACCACTGTTAATGTTGATCTTTTGACCTCTTCCCATGAATCATGAATGTTCTTAATAATCTAGAATGGTGAGTCCTTTTCGGAAGGTTCTCAATTAACTTTGCACAGATCCATCAGAGGAATCTATCTATGGCAACTATAGCCTTATAAGATGTATTTCTTAAATAATAAGACTTGAAAGTGAAAATTACTCCTTGATTTATGGGCTGCAGAATGGATGTTGTGTTAGCAGACATGAAAACAACATTAATCTCACTGAACATCTCCATCAGAGCTCTCAGGTAACCAGGTGCATTGTCAATGAGCAGTCATATTTTGAAAGGAATCTTTTTCTTTCCCTGAGCAGTAGGTCTCAACAGTGGGCTTAAAATATTCAGTAAACCACGTTGTAAACAGATGTGCTGTCATACGGGCTTTGTTATTCCATTTATAGAGCACAGGCAGAGGAGATTTAGCATAATTCTTAAGGGCCCTAGGATTTTCAAAATGGTAAATGAACATTTGCTCCAATCTAAAGTCACTAGCTGACTTAGTCCCTAAAAGAGAGTCAGCCTGTCCTTTGAAGCTTTGAAGCCAGGCATTGACTTCTCCTCTCTAGGTATGAAAGTCTAAGATGGCATCTTCTTCCAGTAGAAGGCTGTTTCATCTACATTGAAAATCTGTTGTTTAGTTTTGCCTCCTTCATTAATTATCTTGGCTAGATCTGGAATCTGGATAACTTGCTGCAGCTTTTATATCAGCATTTGCTGTTTCCCCTTGCATTTTTATGTTATGGAGATGGCTTCTTTCCTTAAGCCTCATGAACCAACCTCTGCTAGCTTCAAACTTTTCTGCAGCTTTCTCACCTCTCTCAGGCTTCATAGAATTACAGAGAGTTAGGGCCTTGCTCTGGGTTAGGCTTTGGCTTAAGGGAACGTTGTGGTTGGTTTGATTTTCTATCCAGACCACTAAAACTTTCTCCGTATCAGCAATAAGACTGTTTCACTTATCATTCTTGTGTTCGCTGGAGTAGCACTTTAAATTTCCTTCAAGAACTTTTCCTTTGCATTCACAATGCAGCTAACTGTTTGGGGAAGAGGGCTAGCTTCCGGCCTGTCTTGGCTTTTGACATGCTTTCCTCACTAAGCTTAATAATTTCTTGCTTTTGATTGAAAGTAAGTGACTCTTGTTTTCATTTGAACACTTAGAGATCATGGTGGAGTTATTAATTGGCCTAATTCCAATATTGTTGTGTCTCAGAGAATAGGGAGGCCCAAGGAGAGGGAGAGAGATGGGAATGGCTGGTGGGTGGAGCAGTCAGAACCCACACATTTATTAAGTTTGCCATCTTATATGGGCATCGTTTGTGGTGCCCCCAAATAATTACAATAGTAACATCAATTTTTATTTTTTTGGCCACGCTGCACAGCTTGCAGGATCTTAGGTCCCCGACCAGGGATTGAACCCAGGCCCATGGCATTGAAAGCAATGAGTCCTAGTCCCTGGACCGCTAGGGAATTCCCACATCAAAGATCACCATGACAAATATAAAAGTAATGAAAAAGTTTGAAATATTGCAAGAATTACCAAAATGTGACACAGAAACACTAAGTGAGCAACTGCAGTTGGAAAAACGGCACCAATAGATTTGCTCAATCCAGGGTTGTCATAAACCTTCAATTTGTAAAAAATACAAGATCTGTGAAGCACAATAGAGCAAGTCTGTAACTGAGAGGAAGAAAGGGAAAATGGTTTTTCCAAGGAAAAATTTTGCATGAGGAATCTACTTAATTTAGTTTAAAAAAAAAAAAAGAACATGTACAAAAGGAGCTAGTATTATGCTTTGCTTGGATTTTTAAAATTTCAAATACCAAAAATGTTGGGAGTAATGTTTGATCGTTATTTTGCCAGAGTGGGAAGAAAGCTAGCATTAACTTGCTACTGTCTACCAGACACTCTGCTCTCAGTATTTTACATGTTGATGTTGTTAAATCCTTACTATCTTGGGCATTGTTATCCCTAGTTTTCAAATAGGGAATCTGAGACTGAAAAAAGTTAAATATATTGTTCAAGCTCACCCAGTTAATTAGTGATTGAAGCAAGATCTGAATCCAGGTCCATCTGACTCCACAGGACTCTGAGAAGGATAGTTCTCTAATCAGAAAGAGGTAAACAGTGGAATAACTTTCTAGGGATTGAGTCATAATTAAATTCGAAGAATAAATAATCTGACTCTGGAAAATAGTTTGGCTGTTCCTTTGAAAACTAAAAATGGACTTGCCACACTACTTAGCAGTTCCACTGTTGGGCATTTATCCCAGAGAAATGAAGACTTATTTTTACTCAGGAACTTGTATTCAGATGCTCATAGCAACTTTATTCAGAATAACCAAAAATTGGAAACTACCCAGATGTCCTTCAAAGGGTGACTGGTTAAAAAAACTGTGGTACATCCATACCATGGAGTGCTACTCAGCAACAAAAAGGTATGAACTGTTGATACACACAAACACTTGGATGAACCTCAAGGAAATTAAACTGAATGATCAAAGCCAATCTCAAAAGGATACATACTGCATGATTTCATTTATGTAGCAGTGGTTAAATATGTAATTATGGAGCTAAAGACTAGATTAATGGTTACCAGGGGTTAGGGATAGGGGATGGATACCACTATAAAGTGATAACACCAGACAGTCTTGCGGTTATGATTGTGGTATGGTTTTGCAAAGCTATACATGTGGCAAAATTGCATCGAGCTATACACATACATACATATATACATACACACACACAAATAAGTGTATGTGAAACTGGTTGAAGTCTGAATAAGCTTCATGGATATTGTACTATAGCTGTAAGATGCTAACACTGGGGGAGGCTGGGGAAAGGGTGTGTGGGACTTCCCTGCGTGTTTCTTTGCAACCTTCTGCAAATCTATAATTATACAAAAATTAAAAATATACATACAGGGGCTTCCCTGGTGGCGCAGCGGTTGGGAGTCCGCCTGCTGATGCAGGGGACATGGGTTCGTGCCCCGGTCTGGGAGGGTCCCACATGCCGCAGAGCGGCTAGGCCCGTGAGCCATGGCCGCTGAGCCTGTGCGTCCGGAGACTGTGCTACGCAACGGGAGAGGCCACAACAGTGAGAGGCCCGCGTACCGAAAAAAATATATATATATATATATATATATATATATATATATATATATATACACACACAATACATATATACATAATCTAGAGTGCCGGAGATTTGGCAAATGGACTTCAGTATAGGCATTTGAAAATTAATCCAAATATATTACCTATTATCTTTCTTTTTCCATTATAATGGGAGAAAGTAACATGGGAATCGTTATGTATTATTCCATGAAAGTTGGTGTAACCTGCATTTCCAAAGGCCAGTAAGATGCTGGCCATCACAGAAAGTGGGTTGGAAATGAAAAAGGCTAAGAAAGTTTAGTTTCTCATCAGAGGCCAAAATAGCTTGACTGGCATCATACAGAACACACACAACACCTAAAATACGGGTAGTTTTTGACAAACAGTATCAATAAACTGAGATGCTGCCATATGAGAGAAGATGGAAAAGGTTCAGAAAGAAATGTAACAGACTTTTAGAAAATCATAAAAGACTACAGAGTCTAGCAAAACCAAGGCCTACTTTTTGATGCTTGGCAAGCAAAATTAAAGAAGCAGTAAATAAAAAGAAGCAGTACTCTCTTGGGGACAGTAGTACCAGCAAAGCATAAAAATAAATTCAAAATGATGTGAATGAACTCATAATTGCCAAAGCCATTATGGGTTTGGAGATAAATTTCTGATCCGTAAAGACTAGTGTCAGACAAGTCAGCCAGTTCCTGTGCCTCAGATAAAGAAGCCTGAGCTTGCTGTGTCTCAGAACGGCAATCTTTATGTGAGGGATAACTTTTGAAGACTTTCATACGTTACCAGGCCAGACAGAGGCTAGTTCCTATTCCACAAGACAGACAGACAGTATAAGGAAAGAAAACAAAGCAACAAAATGAAGACTGGGTGGCAGCCAAAGGAGAAAGCTTAACGGTGAGCCTGGGTCAAGAGACTTCCTTTGAGAGGACACTGAGTTGAAGTCACAGAGAGTGATGAGCAGAGATGCTAGAAGATTCTTCTTTCCTCGAAGATCCTACAGTATGTAGAGATTTGTATGATATGCTGGTATAGCCTAGTAGATTAATCAATGAGATGTAATTGAGCACTTGCCATATGACACAACTGTAGGCCTTATTTGGACAATATTCCCGTAAGTTGACTTGGGTTGTTAACCCCCGAGGTATTTGCAGATATATTTGAACCACATGGCAGGGTTTACTTGTATCCAGTATGAAGAAAAGACTCCAGTATGTCCTTGCACTCCGCACCAAAGGAGGAGGGTCTTGTTCTTGATTAATGAGATGATGGCAAGGTGTCCTTTTGAGGAGTAAAATAGAATATGGATTACAGAAAGCATAGTGAATGTGTAATGTGAGGAGAGCAAAAGAGGAAAGAATTTAAGCGTTTGTATGGGTGCCACCTAGGGACAGTAATATGATTAAAGGAAAGATGCTAACAAACAGTGGAAGATAGAGACAGCTCTACAGAACATGGTCCAAGCAGCATACTACTAGACAAAGGTGCAAGCTTCCCATTCCCTATACGTACAATTGCTGATGACACTACACAGGTTGGGTGTCAGTCAAAGGGTTTATGTCTTTCTGGACCCTCCCAACTCTTAGACCTTTTGTTAAACTCCAGACTTGCATATCCAACTATATTCCTTTTTTTTAAAGAACTAGGGTTTGAGTCCTAATTTTTTTTTTTGGCCATGCTGCACTGCACGGCTTGCAGGATCTCAGTTCCCTGAGCAGGGACTGAACCAGGGTCCCCTGCAGTGGAAGCACTGAGTCCTAACCACTGGACCACCAGGGAATTCCCCCAACTGTATTCTTGACATCTCCACTTCAATCTTTAATAGGCAGC